GCCACTCACTGTGACTCCTAGGTTATTACGGGTCAGTGCTGACGATAAAAGAGTCCCATCAATATCATGGTTGTTGCTGTGTGTGTGCCCCAAGTGCATGCTCACACATTTACCTGCATCGATAAGCATCAACCGCCTCTCTGACCGGGTAAACAAGCTGTTCAGGTCTGCCTGAAGTGCACGTATATCCCCACCATTCCTAATTTCTTGCCAGATTTTTACATCGTCACCATAGGGGGTTTTGTGATGGTTGGAAGCTCAACTGTGTGTAGAAGAAACAGTAGGTGACCCAGGACCGTGCCTTGTGGCACTGCACTCTCGATCGACTTCCAAGTGGAGGGTTTGGAATTGGTTCTGACTCTTTGTCTCCTGCCAACAGGAAAGTTTCTTATCCACGCGAGCAGACTGCCATTGATCCCAAAGCATTCAGGCTTCTTCGGGCAACCTGGAATGAGGTACTTTGTCGAACGCCTTACTTAAGTCAGTGGAAATTCCATCTACAGGTACCCTGTCATCTTCAGACCCAACCCAACTTTCTCTGACTGTAAGGGGGTTGGTCAAGCAGGAGGGATTTCTACGAAAACCATGCCGTGAACAAGACAATAGAGTATTGCCCTCTAGGTGGACTGTGACGGTTTTCTTGACCACTCTTCCTAAGATTTTCGTGACAGTACTAGTCAAACTCATCGGTCTGTAACTTGCTGGGAGCTGCCTAGAACCAGCCCTATGGATAGGTGCTACTATGGCGTCCCTCTGGTCATAGGGGAATGTGCCTTCACTGAGAGACGGTCTGAATATAGTGGTCAATGGCCGGCCACATAGACTGCAACCTCTCTGAGCAGCCTTGGGTGTAGCTCACCCGGTCCCGTTGATTTTTCCATATTCAGAGTACTTAATGTCTAGAATACATCATTACGATCGACATTCATAGAGTTTATCCTGCTGTTTATCAATGCTTCTACTGTTGGATAAGTGTCCACAGAGGATTCCTGTGTGAAGACCTCAGCAAAATCTCCAGCCATGGATTCTGCTTTTTCCCTCTCATCCTCAATCAAGCGGTCATTTTCTGTCCCACTGATTAGGACGGGTATACCACGACCCGTCTTATTTCCATAGTTCATATAGGAAAATAACCTGTGGATGTTGCAATGCAGCCTGGGGAAGACGTGTTTCAAAGCATATTCGAGACCGGTGGGTAGCAGCGGTACATTTATTGCCAGCTTCTTCGTAATGCTTCACCACTTCGGGTGTACCGAGGTGGGTGGCGAGACTGCAGCACTTTTTCTTACGTCGTAGCAAGATTCCGATTTCGTCGTTTATCCACGGAGGACGGTGTTTCCGTCCCTCGGAAAAGTCCACGGAATGAACGGTTGGGTCACTCACGCATATGACTGTTTGAGAGAGCACCACGCACCTTCAACTGAGGCTTCTGGGATGACTGTCCAATCCTCCAAAGAGACTGCCAGATCAATAGCTTCCATATTCGCTTTCCATACTTTGGGTCTAGCTGGAGCACCGGCCTGGCACAAGACGTCTGCTGTGAATGTGAAGATGATCACAGCATGATCACTTTTGCCAAGGGATTCTGGATGCCGGATGAAGCATACATCATCTGTATATGAGAGTACTAGGTCCAGAACTGATGTAGCAAGCTGATGATCATTTCTGGTTGGTGCCCTAATGCTCTGTATGGGAGCTAAGGAAACTAATGTTTCCACTAACCGGTGGTCAAACGAATTACGTGGTCTATCCCAGTCAGCTGATGGTGCGTTAAAGCCTTCTAACACTGGACATCGGCATTTATATGTTTAGAAGATCAGCTTATTTGGGAGGAAGTCCGCTGCTCCACAATCAGGGCTTCGATATATTACGATCACGTCAACATCTTGCCGCCTGCATTTTAGTCAGCAGTGCAGCATTTCACATGTCCCACGTTCACGTGCAACTGTTTCTACGGCTTTTACAGTTAAGTTATCCCTAATTCAAGGGATGACACCACCGCCTTTGAGTTCTAGTCTGTCACTTCTAAAAGGGACGAATCGTTGCGAGTGTATTTCACAGTCACTGATCCAAGAAGAGAACCAAGCTTCTGTGATGGCAATGATGTCAGGGCTTTCGTCACTTATCACATTCCAGAGCTTAGCCCACTTGCTACAAAGACTACGTGAGTTTGTGTACAGGACAACGAAACTGCTTGAATGAGTTTCCGTCCTATCCATGGAGGCCTTGGGATCATTAGTTGCCGAAACCTCACCACACGGAAACATACTATTTTCATATCTTGCTCTGCAGCCGCCAATCTGGATTTTAGTTCTGCCTCTGCTTCTCGTCTTTTGATTCGATCAGCAAGGGTCAGATACTTTCGCACGAACACTCCAGATCCTTGAAGTCCGCGGGCATCCCTCAGAATCTGATTCCTCCCGTCTTCTGACCTGAACACGACTTTAAGTAGCCAAAACTTATTTTCAATAGTGACTGTTTCCTGTTTTCCTACTCTGTATGTCTTGAGTAGGGTGACTCCTGGCGCTTTTTGGTGAAAGCTGGTTTGTCAAGCCGTGTACCTTGCCAAGGTCAGGTTCGAAACGTCTACGGGGTTCTGGGTCTCTACTTTCTTCCACTCTATGGAAGAATGCGGATCTGTCAAGGGGCTCTACTTTGTCTCTGCTCTGTGGAGTGATGTTAGCCGGTTCGGTGACCGTAATTGGCTCCTTAGCGTGCCGTTTAGGCTTGGTCACTTGCCACTTTGCAGAGTCAGGCATGCAAGGTTTACTAGAGCCTGGTCCAGTGACCCTAACAGTGAGAACCTCAGAACAGACCTGCATCCCATTCTGTGTGATTTTCGTCAGTGGTTGGGTCGCCGAACCGGGTATGATCTGCGGCCTGCAAGGCTCTGTCATTGGAACTAAAAGCGCTTCACTCCCGTTTCTTTCATCTGAAGTAGACCTAGTTTTACCGTCAGCAGTTTTCAGACCGGCTGTGTCAGCCTTGGGGACGTGAAACCCAGAAGATACCCGCTTCGCCCCACTTGGTGTGGTTTTTTCTAAGTCGCTGTCAGCAAACCTAGTAGGTAGTCCACGCGACCAACTTACAGCTTGTCGTAGGACATTCTTAACATTTCGCACAGGAATTTGTGTCATTGGATGTTGTGTTGTTATCACCGTCACGGTTGTCAGCCTTGACTTTCGACGACAGTTTCTTAGTCATCTTATTTAGAGGTGTTTTTGCTTCTTCAACTAAAGTGTGAATACCCGAGCAGCACAACATACAAAGCCAGACACTTCCTGCTTCACTGTGCGTCTTACATGCTAAGGGTGTGAGGCTTATGCAGTTATCGTGGAACCGACCCCTACATTCGACACACTGCGTACCAGAGGCCACTGTGAAGTGGCACCCGGCCCTACCATAAGCATTTTCACGACACTTTTGGCTCACCATGAAGCAGAAACTACAGAAATTCACCCAGCAATAGCTCCTGAATAACATTCCGACTGGAGCGAAAAAACAACAGCCTTTGGGGTGTAAACACAAAAATGACAAGAATCTAGCTGATGGTGAAAGGTCACTCTCCTTTCAAACAGCGCTCCTCAGGTACCAGATACCCGAAGTCTATGTATAAATACTGCCATTTGGACTATTGACCCCTTCAGCGTCTATTTCCATCTACTACAGCAAGTATTCCCAGTGGATTCATTCTATAATACCTTTGAACGCAACATAGTGACCTAGAAACGCACTGATTTAGGCACGTACCTTGGTTACATAACTGTGGATACTTACTGATACTCCTGATCGTATAAACTGGTCCTTTGTGGTTAGCAAGGCTAAAAAATAAAGAACTTTCTAATGAATGGGCGGTTGTATTAATGAACAACTAACTGTGCAGATGAACTAACGTCCGCTGGTTATAACGCAAACTTCGAACATTCTGCGCTTTTTTGCTGATAGTGGAAGCTATCTGTGTGAAGGCAGATGAAAACCCATGCGTCTCATGAATTGCAGCAAGTTTTAGTAAAATAAAACATGCCAATGACTTGGCATGCTAATTATTTAATACTAAATACTATTTCGTAAACTTTCGAGAAGTATCAATTTGATAATGCCTGTAAACTGGGATCTCTCACGCTGGATCCACTATATGAGAATAAGAATTAATATTATCTTTAACATACCACATGCTCTGAAAAGTGACAATTTCTTGTTTGTCTCACAACTAATGCAATTTTTAACTAATATCTGCACACAAAGGCATGCCTTTTGTAATCCAGTAACATTTGGAGGCGATTCACCCCTCATGTTTTACCGGCTGTTGGCATAGGTTACTGATATTCCTAAAAAGTGGCCATACGTGGAGTGGTGTCGCTGTCCTGCATGATAGTATTATTTCCAGTCTTTCCAAACATACCAGATACATTTTTTACGATTTCTTAGTTACACAACACCGTCTTACTACAGAACGTCCAGAGCTCTGGGTCCAAACTAGATGCATTCTTCTTCCTCTGAAAATAGCTTCGAGAATTGTTCTGAGAGGATTTTTTCGCCAAACTGTTATTTGCGGCTAATGAGGTTTAGTATGACACTATTTCCTCTTCTGGGTTCTTCTTTTTTGTGTTATTTATCTTATCCGAATGATTTCAGCTATATAATTCAAAATATCACTGTCAATTTTAGTCTGAGGGTGAATTTATCCCATGTGATTATTTTTCCTGAGTCCCTTGAATCTTTCAGGCTCAGTGAGCCTGTTGTAGACAGCGGATGGGTTTTATGCCAACAGTAAGGTTTTCAGGACTTCATTTAGTCGTTCTATGCCTCGTTGTGACATTAAACGGTTTTGATTTATGCGCAGCATAAAGCGGGTTGGGACTTCCCCACGTATCCCATCATGTTCTTGTCAAGTCAAATTATTCATTCATCTTTGAGACGTTTCAACACTTTTACCCCATATTTCTACCGTTGCCGCTACTGATTTTTTCATCCTACTGAGTTGTTTTAATCAATCAGTTATGTTTACTTCGAGGAGCAGTATGTGAAGCTAACGTTATGGTGAGAAGGTCAGTGGGTTTCTTTTTGGTAGGTCTTTTGTGAGAATATTTCACTGTTTGCAGTGAAATGAAATCAAATCTCACTGCTAACTCGAAGAAAAGTTTTGTTGACGTTAAAAAACAAAGTGACAGACAAGTTTCAATGAAGCTGAAACCGCCCTCTAGCGCCGTTTCGACAATTTCTCAGAAGCAGCTGAACGAAATTCAAAGTTACTTTGCAGGTATGGAGTATTTTCATCAATCAGATTTTACAGAACAATTTTTGGCCGCGCCTAAATCTCACGAGAAAGATGCTGTGCTTTCGGTAGGGCTGAACTCATTCGAGTACATCTTCACACCTAGAACATTTCAAAGAAGTCTGCAGATAAAGAAGCCATTGTGGATTATGTTTTAAGACGTCTCATCGAGGTGAATAGTGATAAATTTTCAGAGTCATCTCTCGTTAAATTGTTCGCTTCAGTACATATGGATGCGAAATCGAAGCTTGAGGCTAATGGTAATGACATGTTTTCATTTTTAAAGTTTCTTTCAGCACCGTATATTTTGATGTCGCAGGTATGAAAATGCTATCCTTTACTTACATTAAGAACCCGAACACTGAAGAATCTTCAAGTATCACAGGATTAAAAAAGTCTGGTTCTAACGAGAATGAGCGTTCACTAGAAAAGTTAGCATCGAAGGAAACTGAGCTTCAGTCAAACAAAGAAAGAAGTAAGTAGTATTGATCAATAGAAATGCGTCATAATTGATTTCAGTGACTGACCTTACTACTTTTTCGGTTTCAGTTGGGTCGACTGCTAGCGTGGCCGTTGACCTGCAGAGCGAATTACTACCCAGTCATACACCGAGGTTGAAATTGCCAGAACCAAGTGATTCAAGTGTCCAGTCAAATGTCAGAATTCAATTATCAACGAATAAACAGGATTTGGAATTCATAGACAACATGAAGATTGGTACTGCTTCTACTAATAACTCAGTGGTTTCGGCTCTTTCACCTATGGCCTTCGGTTCGGGACAGGATGCCCATTTGTTAAAGCAGGTATGTCTGATACCTTTTAATTGAATCCAATACTCCTTTTCTCTTAAGAGTCATTTTATTCGTCAGCGACTTTTGAACATCGCTTTGCTAGACTAGTTTAGGGAAAGAGAAAATAAGTGGAGCTCGTACTAGCCTTATTCGCTCTCGACTGGTTCATCTTAATTATCGGTGTTATAGAGTACCATTTCGCGCTATCCTAGATATTTCTGCTAGTCCCCACTTACCTTCCGTTACCATGCAAGTTAGCAATCACTGACTTTGTAGGTTGCTGATATGTTTTCGTTTGCTTATTCTAAGCCCTCCATGAAACCTGATTTTGTTGCAGATAGTACGCTTCAAAGCAATGCAAGTGTTGACCGACGATGTTTACGACGTGTAAAACATCTGGACACAGGAGGCTTTTTCCGATCCATTGAACAATTCACAACACCTTTTACGGGGGATTCACCATACTTAAGGAAAACAGTATGTCAATGAGCAGATATTTCCATCCTCTACATATCATGTTTCCTTATCCACTCATATTCACTTAATAAAGCACTATCTCTCAGTACTTGATTACCCTTGGATTAGTCAGTCTAAGCAGATTTGATGTGTCGTTCATATTTATTCACTGCCCGTTTTACTTACTTGGTTGAATGATATTGTAATCCCGTTAAGTAAAAGACGAAACGAAACTGCTGAAACATTAACATTCCGTGTAAGCTGTCTATCTATAAACTTTCCAATTGAATTCTGTGGTTTAGATGAAGTCAGCACTTGAGGATAACTGGTAGTACTTCATTATCTATATGGGTCTGTCTACAAATCCATACTTTTTCTGCACCTACTAATTCCTTTATTTCTCACACGACCTCAGTTTATTTGTCGTTTTTGCTCTCTTTGTTGACTTCCTATCTTTCAGACTACAGAAAAACGATTCTCTTTACAGTTGCAGACCATACATTTTTCTGCCCAAATCATTTGTAATCAATACGCTGTTGTGAGTCACATATTGAATGACTGCCTAATCGCTTCTGGTTTCCAATGTATTTGGTTATTCTCGAACGTTGTTTACTCTTAGGTTGTCGCTAGGAGCTGGGATTTCCTAGTTGTGTTTGTTCTCTCTGAACGTCGTTTTTCTTGATACATAATCTTAATGGAAGTAGGATTCAACTCAAAGAAAGCTAAAGGTGACTAAACCAAGACGGTGAATTAAACTGCGGTCTGATTAATAATTGAAACCAGTAGGCCAGTAGACGCAGAATTAGTGATCAAGTTAACTGAAGTGCTAACTAGTGTATGGGAGTCAGATATGATCTCCTCTGACTGGTCGCAATCTCTGATTGTTGCAATCTTCAATAAAGGCTAGAAGTCCTCTTGTGGTAACCACGGAGGAATCATTCCGACGGGCATACCGCCTAAGATTCCAGGTTCTATTATCATTCTGAGTTTCAGTGGAGCTGGGGAACAGCAAAAATGAGAAAACCAAGTAGGTCGCCTTGCTGACCGTGAGTGTATCGACCATATATTCGTAATTCATCAGGTTCTGGAAAGCAGGAACACTTACTGGCGTCCAACACTGGCTGTGTTTCTCAACCTGAAGACCCCATTTGACTCCATCAATGAAGAGGTCTTATGGCAATGTCTGCCACCAGGAGGGGTGCTAGGTACATCACTTTGTTGTAGGCCCTTTACTCGAACAACGACGGGGACTATAGATCGTATATTGAGTTGTCAAGTGAGCTGTGTGTGTTGAGTGTGGTCCGTCAAGCGTATCTACTTTCCATTCCTATTCAATCTTATTATATAGGTACTTACGAACACTTCTTGCCGTCTGACTTCACAGGGATTGATCTAGTCACGGAAGATTCCTTGGTAAATCTACAGTAAATCTACAGATTACATAGTTCTGTTAGATGAAGACGCTGACAAGATGCAGGTCTTCTGAACAGCTCGAGTGGCGATTTGAGAGTGTTTGGAATGAATTTCTTGCCATACAAACCCAAATGGTTGCTCCAGGACTTGTCTTCAACAGTGCCCCGGCTAACAATAGGGAGTGAATTAGTTGATTGCGTCGAACGGTTCATTTACCTGCGCAGTCGGATCGGCCATGGTGGACCATGAAATCTTTGTGTGGATAAAAAGGATTCTACTGGCTCACCGCGATATCCAGTTGTTTATTAAGGGTCGAGTGTACTACGCTGCAGTTCTCTGTTCTAATATATGGTTATGAAACATAGCCATATGAGAAGGCTTCAGGTGTTCGGCCACTTTTACACTCATAGCAGAGACCATGTGTCTTGGTGTCACTTTGCCAGTAAGGTAGAAATCAGGAGTAGCGTATTGGGCATAAGAAGAGAATCAGTTGATGAGGTTGTGGACCTTCATCGACTGAGGTGGTTGGGACATGTGCTACCATTTCCTAGTTACCGTCTGCTTCGTCACACAATGTTCACTGAAGTAGGCGTACATTGGAAAGAGGTAAGAGGTGGTCAGACTAAAAGATGGGGTCATTGCATAAAGTCTTTGACCGTTAGCCTGTGTAGTGTAGGGAAATGTAGACTAGCCGGTTGGAATCCACATGACAACTGAGACCAGTGGTTGGAGACCCTAGGTGACATAGCTTAGAATCTAACTCAGTCGCGCGGATGTATCCTCACATCATCTTTATCGTAGTCGTTAAACTGAATTCATCATTTTCTCATTCCTCTCGTTTACCGCTTCCTACTGCCTTTGATTGATTCTTCTTTATTTTTTGTGCTTCATTTTATTGCTCCGTTGCTTGACGTGCTGATACAAGATGTAGCAACTTGGACCTTTACTCGGTAATGCCTTGTCGTATGTTGATATTAATGATGATGGTGATAATGAGTGGCAAATCAGTAACATTCTACAGTTATCCATAGTCTAATGACTGTTGGTTTAATGCTTTTTTTCGTCGTATTCATGTGAAGCTGTGGTTTCTCAGGAACGCTTTCAGCTAGAACGATGACTAATAATTTAAATAAGCCGACCGTGTTTTCGTCTCCACTCTGTGCAAATACTAGAAATTAGCATTTATCTACCAAAATGTAAGTATTTCCGGTTATTCCTATTGTCGATAGTTGAGTCCCAGTACATGAAAACCACTTTTTTGAACCCTATTTATGATCTTATACATTACCGGGCAACTTGATACAAAGTGATCAATATTTCCTGTTCTTTTGTAAGATGTGCATGTTACTGTACTTTAGTATTATCTAGCCAGCAAAGTTATAATGAAATCTAGTGACCTCCTTTGGGTCTTGTTTCTTATTTCCTTATTTCTGGCATCTTTTCGTAGTACATTTTTTTTTGTATAATTATAACTTCTCTCACATGTTTTGAATTTAAATTCTATCCTAGGAGGAGAGCCGTCGACAGTGGAAGGCTGCACTAGATGAACAAATAAAAGAACATCAACTAATGCGGGAGAGGCATCTTCAAGAGACTTTAAAGGAAGACAATTCTGATAGGCGTCAGCTAGCACCTGTTAAAAATGATCGACAGCGTGTCAGTGATCACCGACTTGAACTTACTGGACCCAATACATCTGAGTGAGTTGCCCACAACATTTTTTATCCGCGTTCTGTTTCTAAACAAGATGAGTTTTTCCAAAGTAGTAACAGTGTTTACGAATATTAAAGTTTTTATTCCGGAAATATTTCAGTACTCTCCGAGCATATTTAAAATGTCAAAACAAATAAACAAATTGTTTCACGATCTCATCGTCGAAGACAACAAGCATCTAGAAATTCAATCTTAAAATCTTTTTGTATACCGTTGTATCACAGTTTGGTGGCTTAAATATACGAAAATTCCCTCTAGTACCTTACCACAGATTCATAAACGATCTGCAAACTTAAATACTTGAGAAAATACCAAGTGCTATAACTTAACTTCGTTAGCTGAATAAATAACTTGGGAATCTGTGGCATAATAGGTTGCAGTTGTTGGTGTAAGCGGCTAAACTGCGTTGCAAATACATTCATATGGTACAACAGCTTTTTGTTCTGTTTCTTGATACCAGTTAAGATCTTTAACGTGTATAAACTTGGTTACTGACTTTTCCGGTTGCATCGTGCGCTGATTTGCCTATACATGACATAGTGAAACAACATTGTTTACTGGATAACGTTTAGAAACAACTTACTACTCTCGGTTTACTTGTGAATAGTGAATTGTATTCGAGATGTCACTTGATAAGTTCCATTGTTTGTTATAACAGAGGAGCTTCAAATGTTTGTCATTAAAGCTTGTTGTTTCCTATTTTCGTCGAACTTCACGATCGTACCCATTAGTCAGTGTTAAAATGTTGATTTCTCATGGAGCAATAAGTTGTTATATTACTTGCCAATGACTGGAAATTAGGGGTTCAGGTTGTAGTTTTTGTCTATTCAAGAGTTAGATGCTACATTTACTAGCATCCTATTGTTGAGACTTAAGATGCAACTTGTACGACCATTTTCCTGTACAAAATAGTTTGAGTCACAATCTGCGGAAGATATACGAAGGTGATGTATTCATCTTATGTTATGAAAATTCAATGATCCTATTTGTTGCTTATAATTCGATATGTTCAAACTGATCACTAGGTGGTAACCAACTTAGTTGTTGAGTCTATGGTGTAATCTATCGATCCTTTTTATTACAACCACTTAGTTGCAAGTCTGGACAGTCCTTACCGCTAGATAATCTCTGATGACCTTTTCGTGTACGTAACTTAGAGTCGGTTTGGGCATAAAAGTTTGGTTTAAATACTTAGTGACACTAGTATGTATGCTTGAAACACATGCCCCAAAGTCAAATACACTTCTGTGATAACTCTCAACAAATGCAGCGCATGGTTCCAAGACGTCCTGCTGATATATAAGACTGAAGTTCATTTAGCAACCTTATGCATTTTCGTGTAATAGGCAACAGACCACACTTATTGTATAAGGACTAATAATACCACCTCGGCAGGTGGAGCAGTGTTCGAGCTCGGGACTTACTGGTTATAAATCAACTGCTTAAAACAAACAGCCGCAACCGCACGCTGACATATAACACCACAATCTTGTTAGAATTATTTAATTCCAACAATTGGTGTGATTATGAACAGTAATTTTGCTCGAAATATTACCAAAACTAAATAACATCATTGTGTGTAAACATTCATTAAAAAGATATTTCTAATAAGTTGATTCTCTTCACATTGCACACATTTTTCATGGATATAATCAAGTTTTCTCAGTTTACAGCAACCAAGCAAATTATCAGAAATCGGAAATTGTTAGAATGAACAATAGGTGTATGAGAGAAGAGAAAAAAGTTGGAGTTCGAAATGCTTAAAGTTGAGAATGAATGATTTGAACATAGTTTTTGAACTCTTCAGTCATTGATTCTTTATCTTTCTAAACCCACCACGGTAGCCTTATTCTTCACTATACAGTTAAGTCCAACATTCATTTACTAAATAGATTTGTACTAGACGCGATCTTACTATCCTTATACTTTTGGCAACTTATTTCTACCCCAGTGTCATCGTATGTCTGACTTCATATGTGTCCTAAAGGACTTCAGTCAGTACGAGTCTATAACCTCAACAAATCAGTAACCTCTATGTAAAACTTCACACCTTACCGTAATGTTGCTTATTTGGTGTTTACCATGATACTCAGAAACTTGGCGCATCACGAAAAGCACTTTCAGCAAACTACAGACATTCATCAACAGCTGCCTACGCTCGATACTGAAGATTAGATGGCCAGAAAGAATAAGCAACAAGGAACTTTGGGAACGAACCAACTAAGAACCTATTGCCCAACAAATATGCAGAAGAAAGTGGGGATGGATTGGACTGGATATACGCCGAGAACATTTGGGGACATCATGCGCCAGGCCCTCGAGTGGAACCCAGAGGGAAATCAACGAGTGGGGCGTCCGAGGCGAGGGTGACATGGAGGAGATCATGTGAGGAAGAAATGAAGGCTTAAGGGCAGTCGTGGTGCCATTTCCAAAAGACTGCAAAGAACAGAGTGGAATGGAGATGTGCTACTGAAGCCCTATGTTCCGCTAGGAATGCATGGGAAAAAAATAATAATAATAAACAATGATACTTATACCGAACAGGTTAGCTTCTTCCTTCAATATGTTAACTGAGGACAGTTATTCTTCAAGTTTTTGCAATATAAGTTTAGAAAACCCGTAGTTTTTATTTTTCTCTTGTTTGAAGTAATATTAATTCATCACTTAGAGAATATTTTACATTATTTTTCTGGAAACTTTTTTTCTGAAGTAGCAGCGTACGTACCAATCCGTTGATTTCACATCCCTCAGCTAGTCACTTTTTGTCGTCAAATTTCTTGTTACCTGATTCAATAATCGGCAGTGCTTCCTCATCATCTGGGACCAAGGACCAGTCTGGTCAACCGTGGAAGGTGGGCTTTAATCGTGTAAGAGGTTTTACTCAGCAAATATACAACGATTCTGCAGAATCTGCCGAGCGATCACGACTAGCTCATGAGGCTAGAGTAAGTTTTAATGCATGTATTGTATCAAATGTTTTCTCGTTAGTCATTCCTGGATACTAACTTGTCCAAAGTTAACTCCTTTTACAGTTTGTATGTGATCCAACACAGTTTGTTATTCAATGTGTAAAGAATGCATTTGGCCTATCCTTAACCATGATTTCCTGAATTTTGACTATCAGTGGACCTTTACAGTATTTTTCATACAACTCAGTATTTATCATCCAGTTTACATCGTTCAAACTATCCAGTCCATTGTTGGTCAGGATACCTTCAAATACACCGTTAACTGTTTTAAATTTCTCAAGTACTAGAAATACATCTTTAGTATCCATACTTTAAGGTGTAGAATCAGTCTACATGTCCCTTTCACCAAATGCATACAATTTATCTTTAGATTGGTTTTAGGCAACACTGGATTGCTGTTTCGTCCTGGTATGGAACTCCTCAGCAGTACGCACTCGTGATCTCACCCGGGGTGGGTTCTTGTTCTGACCACCTTGAGCCTTATTCCTGCTCAATCCCTGTTTGTTTAACATAGCACGTCGAGGCAGACAGTGACTGAACATACACAACACACACCCAAGCCACCTCAGTCGGCAAAGGTTCACAACCTTGTCGACTGATTTTCCTTCCTTGTCTACTACCCTTCGCCTAGCCCATACATTGGTTACACGATGATTTCATCATATGTGAGCAATGCTGTGTAGACAACTCTGTTTGAAAGTGTATAACCTCTTCACATCTGCTTTTAACTGCCATGTCTCACAGCCATATAATAGGATACCGCAAGTTGCAGAGGAGTTTATGAAGCTGAAAATATAATTGACGATGTTTTTTACTTCTTGTTCATTTGGAATTGAAATTTATATTTAAACTGTTGATTGTAGTGTAGAAAACGCAACTGGTGATTACCGATGGAATTACTTATTAAGAAACTACGCTGAGTACTAATGAAATATTTAATCATTGCATTCAACTTGTTTGATGTAAATAATATCTGCGTTCTACTTTCGAGACGAAACATCTTTCAACTTCTCTCATTTCTTCGCTTGTCTCTTGTATTTCCTTCTGATATTTTTCTTTTGTTCCTTTGGAACCTGGACCAATTAGATGATAATTCTAATTACTTAAACCACAGGGTAAAACTGTTTGTTACTTAATATAAACGTTGTTCTGTTCAAGGTTTTACTTGGATGAGATGCCCGAATGGTTGGTGTTTTTTTGTACTGTATTCGAGGAATGTCGCTGATAGTTACAAATGTGTGCTTTGCTACTCTACTCACCAAATGATTACATCATTGTTAGTTCTTTTTCTACGTGTATTTCTAGCTGATAAATTTGAAACAAATTGAAGAGAGGCGTCGTCAGAAGGAGGAAGAAAAGGCAAGACTTATCATGGAAGAGAAGAAGGAAGAAGAGCGTATATCACGTGAGCGTCTTCGGCTACAACAGATGGCTGAGGTCGAAAATGCTCGGAAAAGAGCAAACGATGTAGGGTTTTATTGTTAATTGAATCTTTATCTTTATGTAGTTGCACATTGTACGAACAAATAATTTTGTACTGCCTTCCTATTCCATTGTATTAAAGAACAAAGGAGAACGTTACTGAAAGTTCTCTGGTTTGATTAAGGGAAACTACTGTGAAATTTGTTAGCTACCTGAAGGAAGATTTTACTAACCACTATTTCAAATAGAATTTTAATATTAGGATCGTTTTGGAGAAATAATAGTTTGTGAAAGTCAGTGTACCAGTTTGATTATTTACATCTAACTGATATACAATCAGTTACGAAATACTTTTGTAATGAAAACCGTTTATCCCGGTTTTAGGATGAGTAATTCAGCAGAAAGCATTTTGATTTTGAAAACTGATCGTTAATACCTTCTTTTTGTGTGTATATATTGTTGGTGAAGTTAACTATGTAGGATATTAGGTAGTTCCGTATATTGTGAAATCACTCACAAAGCTTTTGCTGATTGGTTAGATGTAGAAATATATGATCAATGAAATAATATTCATCTGTGGGTAAACAGGCTTCAGTTTTCGTAATCAAGCAGAGGTCACATTTTTGTGTATATGTAAGTGAAATAGCCTTCCAAAGTAAATAAAATTAGTTTGCCTTATTGTCGAACAAATTCCAAGCACTTCAATATGATACCTCTTCATCTCCTTTGCAATCTGGGCTGCCTTGCTGGGTTCAAACATCGTACGGACATTCCATGTCCCCACGTTTACTTTTGCTTCCATCGAGAGAAGACACATCGGCCAATCGGCTTCCCCAAGGCTTTCACCAACTGGCATCATTTTGCCTCTCCGATTCCAGCGAGGCATAATTTTGTTATTATTTTTTTATATTTCGTTTGTGCTTTGAATTTTCTTTAGCGGTTAGATTTGTTTTACGGGTTAGGGTTGCTAGGTGTATACCCAACCTTCCCTCTTTACCTGGGCTTAGGACCGGCTAGTAACTAGTGAACTAGTTAACCAGGCGAGGCTGAGTGGAATCCGCATGGAAAGCGACGAGTTGGACGTCCGAGGGTGACATGGAGGAGATCGTGCGAGGAGGGAATGAGAGCTTCTGGGCTGTCGTGGAGCCAGGTTCAAAAGATTTCAGAGAACAGAGTGGAATGGAGACGTGCTACTGAAGCCCTATGTTCCATTAGGAACCCAAGGGACTATTAATAATAATAATAATATTGTCGAGCGTCTGTTGCCATGTAGCATTAGCATTTTCACCAAACCATATAAACAAATAGGCAGTATTACAACTAGGTAAAGTAACTTGTTTGTTGGTGGCTAGAAGTTGAATCCAGGGTGCGTGTTTCGTCCTATTCGGGACTCGTCAGTCCCGGTGGGTGATGTTTTTCTAACTGACACTCAAACCCAACAGCCATCACTTCAAACGCCAAAGCGTCGTCTATTAGACCACTGACGCATGGGAGAGAAAGGTATAAAGTAACATTTAACTTTCATTCATGGTAAGTGAAGTCGAAATATGTTTATTTTACTTCACTCTCATTTGTTGTCAGCTGGAAGAAATTCAACGTACACAATATCTACATGAATCACTCATTCGTGCTCAAGAAGATGCAAAGTTAAATAAAGTACGGAAACATCCATATTATTCTAAACCCGACCGAAATGAGAATTCAATAAATTCACACTTAGTTCCAAAACCTGAGTTACAACCTATGGGCTGTTACATTACACCTTTTATTGAAAATGAGAACAAAGTTAACAACTCTTTGTACACTCTGGCGTCATCATGTGTTTGGAATGTTTCAGATAATAATTCATCTTACAATAATAATCATGTAAGTCTGCAAATCAGCATCTTTTTTAAGCAGATATTATTTTCAGTTTATTTAGTTTAGCAGTGAGAAAGTGTTTGTTACCACTTATATCACCTTCTCTAGAATTCAATTTGATATAAAATTATCGATACGCCTGATACTCAGTTTATCACTTTTTTGGAACCCTCATTTAATAAATAAGGAAAGAACAATCTCAAGTACTGTTACAGTGAGCACTTTGAAACGATTTTATATTCTGTAAACTAAAATTTGTGCTAATTTTTTGTTCACTATTGTTTATATCATTAATATAAAACTCATAATCCTGCTACTAAACGCTAAAAAATGAAACCTGCATCGAGTTGATTGTTAGTTCAAAAAAGTCAAATGCCTTGTCCTTGCAACCAGAAGCTTATCATCTAATTCAATTGATAAAAATCAGTTTGTACTATAGGACTGTACTTTCACCTCCGTCTGCCAGTTCATATTTTACAACTAAAGGAAGTTTATTTTGAAAACTCTTTGAAAGTTTTGTGTGTACGTAGATGATTCGTAAGGTATTTCAGTCCAGTTGTTCATAAGTCATCATAGCTTTATAAAGAAAATTGACCAAATGGTGAATGCCAGTCCCACTTTATTTGTGTGCGTATACCTTGCTGAGCAGGATGAGCACTATGTGTTACGATGCGGAGCTGTGAAAACGAACGATGGTAAATAACGATTGAGAGTCAGGGGTTGGGATGATTCATCCCGAGTAATTCGCAGAGGGAAATCAGAAGACTGGTAAGGGGTTGAGTTTATAGTGTTTCACACTAAAAACGTTTATTATCAAAAATGGACCCTATTTATAGAATTCACAGTAACCTTGAAAGACAAGTAATAATTAGTATATTTAAAGAGGTAGGAATCAATCAGAACACTAGTGGGTTACATGAAATGTGGCCCATGTGCGGGAAAGGGGCTCAAAGAAAAACAGTTCAAAGTATACAATTTTGTAGGCATGGAATATAAGGGATATAGAGATTCCTAACAAAATAAGACGTTCATCATTTTGACTATCTGAAATAGCCGTGGTTTGGCAGACTAGTATTTATACTGCGTGATGATTGAAGGTGAAATGAAAATTTGGACCGCAGCCGTATTCGAACCAGCAATCACTGGGTTTCCGGATCCATGGTTTACTCATTGAGCTGCTTCGATCACCAAGCGTTTCGCCCGACTACCATGTGAATTCATAACGCGTTACTATAGCTTGATCGTATTCAGACTGGCTGAAACAACGTTAACCTGTTCGGATACTGTAATGATCATTTGTGCTGATCTAGTTTTGGTAAACGTTTATTTTAAAGGTTTGAGTTATCTCTAACAATCTGATTTACTTCTTGGAGGTCATCTGGTTGACTTGTAGTTTGCAGATGATATTATCCGACTAGGTGAAGACGCTAACAAAATGGCAGGGTCTTTTGAACGCATTGAATGAAAACCTGAGTATGTTTGACATGCGTTTCGCACATGTCAAATGTGAGATGTTGCTCCAGGACTGTTTTGCGACCACATACAGTTTAGTGATAGAAAGTGAAATGGTGGGAAGTGTCAGCCACTTCACTTACTTCGGAAGTTGCACCAGCTCGAATGAGTTGGTTGCTGACGAAATCCCTGCTCGCATACTGAACGCCCGTTTGGATTCGCCGACTTGCGTCATCTGTGACACCAACTGGAGAGATATCTGGTTATCGATCAATAGGAGAGTATACTGCGGTGCAGTCCGTTATATCCTGTTATGCAGCTATGAGACATGACCGTTGAAAGTAGAAGATATGAAAAGACCAGAGTTTTGATCATAGGTGTCTTTACAGCACTGCTCGCATTTTGTTTAATCACCGTGTGAACAATGCTGAGTTCAGGTGAAGGGTACTGGGCAAAACAGGCAAGTCGATTGATGAGGTTGTAAACCTTCATCGACTGACGTGTTTCCGACATGTGATGCGCATGCCAATAAACCGCCTACTTCGACGTGCTACGCTAGGCGAAGTTTGATTAGATTGGAAAAGGGTTCAGGGTTTCCAGACCAAGACATGTTACCAGTCGATGAAATCCCTGACTGTTGGTGTGAGCCATGTGGGGGATGTAAACTGCTTGGTTGGAGACCTTGAGACGAAAAGAATAAAGTGGTTGGGAACTCTTGGTGACATGGTTTAAAATCGAACATAATGGTGCAGATGTATTCACTCTTTGACGTCTTCTAAAGCTTGAATATTTGCGCTAAACTTTATCTTCAGATAGGTTTTTCTCTAATATAATTTTGTATACTCCGATATCACTGTCTTTCTATCCACCCGCTCTTCGTATACTACTGTGAATTGTGGCAAATCGAAGTGATGCACTTGTGTTCTAGATTTAACTTTAATTTTGTCGCTTGTCTATATTAAAGCGTGTGTATTGATGTTTTCACTTGACTCAACTGACTCTTGATTTTGCACCACACCACCACTTATTTATCATATTTGTGCTACTTTCCAGTCTTTACCACCTGCTAAATCTTCACTTGGTGTTCAAACTTCATTTCCAGAAGATATTGGCATTCAAACAGGTAAGCAGATAATTATGCTTTAACTTACACGATGCAGTAGACGACCATAATTCTTTGCATATACTTTTCCATTCATAAGGTAGAAAGTCCGCTTTTTAAAATTGCATACTGTTTGAAGTTTTGTTTCAGGTGGGTATTATTTACCAACTTCAGAGAGTTATCTGTGCATAAGTATGTTTACTCGTCTGATCTGTCTGTTTGCGATAGCCCTTGTGTGCCTATAAATGATTACAAATTTCTCATAGTAGTAGTTCAGATTTTTGTGATAATAATGGTGAAAGTTCTCACACTTCGTTCTATCTTTATGTAAATTAGATGAAGTGAAATACAACATTTCTGAATTACAACTAACCTTGTTTTATTGCCTACTAAAATCTGAAGAGTTGTTACAGAGCTACTCTGAAAAGTTTTGTCAGTAGCATATGGCTGTTTCTTTCACAATTAAGAATAACACGAATGGAGATGAGGTTATGTATAGTGCTTCAAAAATCAACTTATCCATTTCATCTAATTGTAGAGTATTTCATACCATACTCTTGTTATCGCATTATATTTACCACTAAATATCTGGTACACTTTTAAAAGATGACACGATTAGTGAAGAAAGTTTTGCTGAAGACCGCCCGCTGTATGACGTAGACACTTTGTTCAAAGTAGGTTATCTAATAATCATTTTATCTTTCTACCCTAGTGCTTTTATAGGTGTTGTAGTCCTTAATGTAAGGAAAAAACTTGGGCATTGTGGTAGAGTATAATTCCATATTAGATTTTTTATTTGATATGAGACAGTGGAACAGTATAATTTACTGGATGATGTTTCGAGCAGAATTTATTGCTCATATGCATATTAAAATAACCATGCGACTTTCAAACTTCCTTTATATAGTCCAACACTTCATTTATTTAATTGGCAGTAAAATTTTTCATGTGTGTCTGCAATATGTGATTAACCATTCCTGTTAGGTGTGGATTCAATGAACGGAGATTCTGTGATTAGTCTCTCTCTCTCTCTCTCTCTCTCTCTACCTAGCTACATTGGATTTTAGAATTGTCACTCTATCCCACCCGCCACATAGAGTGTGATTATGGGTCGGTGTATACAGAGCGATAGCCAAGTTTTTCTCTAAATTACTTATCTTTATAGAGCCTACCACGGTATGTTTCGCTAAATTTTTGTGTTCTGCTGTTCTAACCGACCCAGATCGGCTGTTTTGACCTAAATACTTGACATCACAATCATTACATGGTATTTGATGGGTGGATTATGCTTTTTTTCAAATTGGCTCTGTTGGATCTTTTAACCTACAAAGTTTCTCTCTGAGCGAGTTTATGGGTTTAAATACCACCATAATCCCAGCATTGTTAAGAATTTTACGTAAAATTCCCAATGTACCTTCTTTATACGGCAACAATACAAAGGATTTGAATTCCCTCTTAGGCATGTTGCAATCACTGCTAACATTACCAGTGTTTCTCCTGTCAGTATTACCTAAACATTTAGATAACTCATATGTGCGTGTTTCTTAAATCAACTATTGGGTTAATAGGATAACCTGTTTTATGAAATTTAATTGTACCATGCATTCTACTAAGATTATTAGTTTAAGCATTGATTTAAAGCACTGAAACTCACCTTGAGATAGCTTCATTCGGCGTATTAGATCACAACATCATTCAGTAAATTACACTGTATCACTGTATCCTGTATTAAATAAACCATCTAATTGTCGCAGTCCTTGTGTACCATAATCGAATTCCTAAAGCAATCCTTAAAACACGACTTCCACAATGTAATCGTTCATGAAGTTGAGAATGAAGTGAGATATTCCTTTCCCATATGAATCTGGTCAGAAGTTGTTGAGCCTGAAGAAAACTGATTTACCGTAAATCTAACAGAAATTTGTCACATGATAACCCAATTGAAATGAGAAAATAGCCAATTGAATTATAATTATTTGTAAATGTTGAAAATAAACGAAAACAATATTATTTTCTCACAATCTATCTTAGACGGTCTTGAATACAATAACTCCCAGAAAAAACAATTTCCTAATGATAATACACAAATTAAAAATGGAATTAAAGGCACTTCTACCTACAAGCTGACTTCCAGTGATAAATTAATGAAAAGCCATTCCGAAAAGAGTATGAATCAACCTAAATCATCATCAGATAATTGCAGACAACAGTGTAAGTAAACTGGTGTATTTCTAATGTTTATTTTATAAAGTATAAAGTGTATTCATCTGTAAGTTAATATTTCTCACAGTTTTCCTATATTTATTCTTTCATTTTCGGATTTACTGCATCATTCTCTGTATTCAAATTCAATACCCAACTCGGCATGACATATTCTTTTGTGTTTCAGGCTAATGGTATGAATCTTATGTATTTTTCAACACAATGAATGTATCATTGTTGCACTACATTTCGAAAACAAAAAAAAACTAGTTGTTGGCTATGCTAATGTTGCTAAGGAAAGTTAAAAGATTCTCAGTTAATCTACAAATCAATATGATCTGTGCAGTTGATTGTAGTTGGTTCCTTTAGTTTTCTGTTCGTATTTTTAGCAACGATGAAAATTTCACATCTCTTTCCCTTGTTAGATTCTTCAGACTCGCAAAACTGTTATAAAACCTTTGTACTCTTTACAAATTGTGCATTGAACGCAGTGAATAATTTTTGTATGTCATCGATTTCTTTTCAGAAGTGCATTTCAGAATCAACTGACAGTGCTATCGTTTAAACATTTACTTTATGTAAGATTTACGATGTAATTCTTTACCATCAATAATATCGACATTTTTGATAGGCAGGTAACAAGTAATGTCTAACCTGTATTTCTTTAAACTGAAATGGTGTTATGTTCTACTATTATTTGAAATTTAAAAGAAGTAGGTGCATAGATTTGATCCCAGGAATATCAAGGTTCCGTATATTTTTAGCGAATGTATCTCTAAAATGCTCTGAAGTGTCAATTTTATTAGGTTACTTCATCACATCTAACTTTCCATATGGTTAGTCTATTAGTTATGGTACTTCGGTTATGTTGCGAGGCCCTAGTTTTGCATTTTACGGTATGACTAGTAGTTGTTTTCTGCCCCCATTGTAATGTAATTCTCTGATTGGTTAATCTCTATTCTTACTGCGCCAATGTCTCAAATTGAGGACAAGGTCATTTCTCGTGTGTGCACTTATTCACGTGTTTTGGGATTGATTATCATTGCAGTCTCGGAGATATAAACTTTCCCATCATTCCCCTCGGTCTATCAACCCTAATACACGTTTCTACCCATCCATAGTGTCTTCTCCGCTAATTAGTCGGGTCGGGAATCAACTAAGAATTTGATGAGTGTTGGTGGCTAACAGTCGATATCTGCGCATCGTTAGCGGCCATAGCATGTAGCATCCTTCAAATCATAACATGTTAGAGTTCACAAAATTTGTGATAGTGAGAATTATTTACACTACAGTCAAAAGATGTTGCTTGAACACCTTATGGGTATATCTTAAAAATTTTTATCACAGACATTGGTTACCATCACCTCTGTCCCCCATTCTAGGGTTAGCATATGATCATACATTTCAAGTGGAGAAAAGTCTAAAATAAAACGGATGAGTCTGTTAATATTTTTCTTAGGCTCTTCTAAATGATTACTGATGAGTAAGATATGTATATTTCGTATTTGTTTGATCCCAACTGGAGATTATTTCAGTACAAGTAACAGAAGGCATTGTAAAGAATTGACATTTATGCACTTTCATTTAGTGTGTACGTAAAAACAATTATAATTACTGATTTAGAGTTCAGTGGGGATTTTGTGCTTAAGGTAGCAGTCAGCACGGACCGAATGGTTAACGTGTTTACCGTGAAACGTGAAGGTCCTAAGTTCGATCCCTAGCCGGGTCATGAGTGCGTACTGTTGAGGAGTCCCATACTAGGACAAAACGGCTGTCCAGTGTTCCCAGGTTTTCAGTGGTTCTCCAACTGATGTCAGTTCGTGGTAAATGCCACCTTAAACACAAGGTCCCCACTTGCCTCAAAATACATTACTATATAGTGCTCATTAGTGACATGCTTCCAGATGGATATCCCACGGTTTTAATGCAAAGCTATGACCTGTGGGGTCAAGCAGTCGGCAGTGAAGTGGATACCAACTGAAAACTTCGGGTGATAGTCGTGCTATATCGCGGATTGATAGAAGTAGGAAACTGAAGACAGTTGAATTCCGACCCAGTGGTTGAGTGGTTAACATGTTCTCCATGAAACTCAAAGGTCATGAGTTCTATCGTTAGGGTGGCGGGGTCGTGGGTGCATACTGCTGAGAAGTCGCATACTAGGACAAAATGGTTATCCAGTGCTTTCAGGTTTTCAATGGTCTTCCAACTGATGTCAATCAGTGATGAATTGTACCTTAATTTCAATTATGTTTAATCGAACTCATATATATTTGTCAAACGGCATCCAGGTCAGAAAATGATAAAGTAAATAGGTGATTTTCTAGTCTTACATTCACTCAGTGAAATATACGAAGCGTTGACTGTTTGTATGTTGCTAAGGAATATCACATTGTGAAATTTTGATCCATATTTCTAATTTGTACAAAAATAACTAGTGAGATTCTTAACTCTCGAAGATATGGCTGCTTTGGAAAGCAACGAAATTCTGAGTACCTGACAGAGTCATATTGCATACGTTGGGAAAACTGGTCCCACCATGATATATACTACTGGTTGACATCACAGCTGTGGACTATTCATGCCGACCAACACTCCTCAATTATCAGGTCGAGGTAAACTAACTACGCCATGATCATTTCGCTTGTTCTGAACTGAACTTATTGGCAATCTGCTCAGAGAGGTAGATCGTCCGCAGTAAAGAAATTCACTATCCGTGGTACGAACCACTATGGTGTATTTTCTGAATTGGATCCCACTTGCACATATATTATTCTCACCCCGCGTTGTGCAGTTTGCGAGGATCCAATTTGATTTCCATTTTATCATTTCTGTGTTTTATGATAGAGGGACACACTAAACTGATTGTTTAACATAAAATCTGGTTTTATTGAAATAAAGTCGATCTGAATATGTATAACTGCCCATAATTACAATTTGTTTTTCACTTTCATGCATCTTACAATCAGCGGAGAATTCAGAGCATATTGTTACTATGTTACATGTTCCAGTTAAAACCCGTTTTTCACAGTGAAAAGTGTTTTAGTGAATTCATGCAATTGAGTTGCAGTTACCATCTATCTCCATGATATATTCTATTTTTATGGTGGCATTTATCTGATTATAGAATAATCATGCCTTAAATATGTAAAATGTCTTCATTTCATCCAATCACACTTCATTGTTGGTAAATTAGTCGTCTAACATCTCTGGTCAAATGAATAAAAGTGTTTTTCCTTGGATAATATATGCCCCTTTATTGATTTCCTCCAACATTTATTCCTCATTAATTATATAGCTCGACAGAATTGCTCTATGTCTGTGGAGAAAACTTCTCAACACAAGAATTTCAATGCAAATAAAAAAGAAACTTCACAAAAGCTGAAACCCAAGCAAAATTCAAAAGTCCCACCACAACGATTTCCCATCTCCAATAATGACAATGTCAACTCATTGAATGAGAAATCAGAGTTATACAGCAGTAAAGCGTGGTCATCAAGTTCCGACCAACTGCATACCATAAAAAACAGATTCGAAAGGTGTAGTTATCATTTTCTTATTCTTAGTGTATGCTCCTTTTTCTTATTTACAGCATACTGAGCTAATGTAGATTATCTTTCAGTGATAAGAAAGCTGCTGAAAAAATGTTTTCAAGACTTTACCTATTTACTATAATTTTTCGGAGCTATGGGTCAGTGGTTTAGGGAGATGACTATCATCCACCGGGTCATGAGTTCGAGCCCTGCCTCACTTACCGAGGTTTAGGCAGCCATTAGCCCTCATACCGTAGGTGTGGCTCATTGCCTACTGTATGGATTTGCCGAAGGTGGTTGAGTGGGTTTCGTTTCGTATGAACATAGGCACCGAGAAACCATCAGTATTTGCACTACTACCCAGCTTCACTAATTTCGTGGTTACTTCTAGTACTTTATTTGCAAAGGTGCGTGCAAGCACCGATAATTTGCACTTCATTAGTGTAAAGCACATGTCGTTCTTAAAGATGCTGATCGCTAACCACTTAAGTGCGGTCTGAGTAATCTTTATGCTGTCGAAAAGTAGAATGATATTTTCCGCATATTCTAGGTCAGAAAGTTTTTTTTCGGTAGCCTGTTTACACCACCACCAATTATTTCCTTCGTAGCTATCTCAAAAATATCATTGATAGCGAAGTTAAAGAGGGCACTCTGAATGCCGGTGTAGAACTAAAGGACGAGATCGTCTTTTATCCTCACACTAACTGGCGGTTTTAAGTGGGGCTATTAATATGCTAACAATCTTTTCAAAGACACCCCTTTCTAACAGAAAGTTTCAAGGCACAGTCCTGTACAAGGAATCGAAAGTCAGCTGTGTTGTTAAAAAATAATGACTGTCAGACTGCAGTGTCTTTTTTCGAAGTCATAGTTCTCGGTTTTGATAGCCGTTACACCTTAGGATGTATGAGAGAATTTGACTGATAATCCAAAATCGTCTTACTTTTCGCTAAGACACTTTTCATATGAAGTGACGATAATTTATTCAGCTACTTGTATGTTTCTATGCTTACCACTTGGAGGTGCTATAACGACAAATAAACTAATATGCTCATTTCATGTGATCACAACTCCCCATAAACCTTGATATTTGAATATAAACCAGACCTATCTATGCGCTTTCCAACGCTTAAAAACCAGCGAATGAACTGAGTAGAAGACAAGATATTCAAAACCCTTATAATAGTAGTCGTTCCTTCCATTTCGATATTTACAGTGGATACCTTTATCTACCTGAATAACATATCCACACAATACAAAGTGGATTGCAAACATACCTCAGCCATATAGACTACAAAATCAAGTATGCAGTTCACAGTTAGCTGACTGCTGCTTTTCAATACGATGACATAAAGTAAAAATAGAAGGGTTTCTAGAAAGCTTTTAAAAATCATCATGACATATCATTGTTAAATTACTTCTAAGTAAATTGTTTTTAGAAATGTATAAAATAATTGATTCAATCATACTCAACCAAGCTTTACGTTTTCCCCTCTTCGGTTTGTTATAACGATAGGTATGCAACCACTGTTAATGTGTTCACTTTAGGATAGTCGAAGTCGATAGACACGAAATCAATAACTTAGATTTTGTGCTTACAGAACACTTTTGTGATGTTGGTGGAACTGATAATCCTTTAGATAACCAAACTTTCTACTTGTGTTATTAGGACTGCCAACAAACTTTGGTGCTGGTTTAGGTAAGTTGATCATTCACTGAATAGTAACCGACATCGTGTTGTCTGCTAATCAAACTGCATAAACTGGGTTTGTAATGTTGACATATGAGAGTGAAACTTACTTAATAAAGGTAGAAGACATATGGAGAGATCAAGTGTTCTGCCATCGTTGTCTTCAAAGCATAGACTGTGTATCATGCTGCCACTATCTCGGTAACGTAGAAGTCAGATGTAGACTTTTGGGCAGAAGAGGAAAGTCAGTTGATAAAGTTGTGAGCTTTCATTGATTCAGGCAACTGGGATACGTGTTACGTAGATCTAGTCAGTGTCTACCTCGTCACAGTAAAAAATTTTCAGCAGCTTTACGCTGAAAAAACACTAGAGGTGGTCAAAATAAAACATCGCATCAGTCCATGAAGTCTTTGACTGTAGGTCTGAGCTGTGTAGATAAATGTAAACTTACCGGTACGTATCCTTATAACAACGGAAATCGGTGGGTTGAGGCTCTATTTAATACGGCTTAGAATGAATTTCAGCGGTGCAGATACATACGTAGGCACGTAATCTTCATCTTAACCGTCATCTTGACTTTCGTTATTGTTTCATTTTCCACTGCTCTCTTTTGATAACTTTCTGTCACTTTTGACTGGTGTCTTCATTTCTCTATCTTTCATCTTGGTGCCTTCCAGCTTGTTTTATTGATTTTAGGTGTGGTAACGTGAACTACTACTGAGTAATACCAAGTTCTGTGTTGATATCATCTCTTTGTCTGTAGCATGACCATGAAACCCAGTGACTTGACTCTTTGGTGTAGTGTATATGATGCCCGAAGGTTGGAGGCGATTGAGAGCTCTGAAAAACACCCAATTTCACAAATTCGATGCATTTGAAGGGTAACAGTCGTAACAATCAATTTGAATTTTCAGAAAATAACGACACAACAGAACTGAATACTAAATGCGTTCTATAGCTTCCTGCTTTTTGATTTAAATTTTCAGATGACGAATAAATGCAGTTACAATGAATGATTACATTAAGATATTTGTAATCGTAAATCCTGTTTGACTTGAAGTCTTATATTTAAAAAGGCATTGTTAGTTTTTCATCTATTGCTTTGTAGTTATTTACAAGTCGGTGCACTGATTTTTGAGCCGAATATTCTACAAGAGAGTGGGTGATATCATGTAGAGTTCAGTGCTTGAAAAATTAAACGATCACTTTCAAAAATTTGTACTATATCTGTAGTATGAAGGCGATCATTCTTTATTGACGAGCTATAACCATAACTCTAGGTACTTTACTCCTACTTATCCTCAAGTTTGTGTGACTTAGAGCTAAGCAATCTATAACTGTCAATGTATCAATGTTTCTCTTACTTGTTTCATCATAATTCTCAACCACTAATTAACTCTCAGTTGTTTGTTTGAAACCATGTTTTATGGAAATAAGCCGTAATTAGTCAGTAAAGCTTTATATCCCACAAATTGTGTATATTCTAGTAAGTTTTCTGGATTTACCTCCTAATTTCTTAGGTGTATAAGTGATTATTGTTCTTAATTTGTTATCTGAAATCGATTTATTCCTTTTTCTCTTATCTAACAAAAGAACTGTTCAAGATGGATACAATATGAAAACACGAATCCCTGTACCAAGTAAGCTGTCTTATTGTTTTGCTTAGTTTTTGTAATTGTAAATCCTATTAAATAGGTAAGGAGATGGCATTATGTAGCAGAAGTATACATTTATCATACATACATTTATCATTGAGAAAATGTGCATTTATTTTGGTCAATGGATTTCACTAACATTCAGCGCCTTTGAATTCATGTATTCAACTTCATTGAGGTTGAAACGATAAAATTCAGATAATGGGACAAACCCCTTACTGTAGTTGGGTTTATGTTCTATGGTTGATTGTCTCTTGTCATCCTCATTTCAGCGACCACTGGCTTGAGACTCTGATCAACAGAAAAAGTTACGAAATTTCCTGTTAGTTTTTTGTTATTCTCAACTGTTTTGATCTCTTCTCTTATCCCACTCACCGTTATTCTTGCATGCAAATGACTCGAGTTTATGCACACGATACTCCTGATTCAACGGTTGGTGGTTTACCAATTGTTTTTATGGTCTCTTATCCTACTTATAAATAAATCACCAAAAAATGATCAAATTTACCCGGGTGATACTTCTCAAGCACTGACAGTTCCTCACCTGTGATTCATTATCTTCGTCATTGAAACTTGCACCAGAAATATGTCATGTAGTACAGAGACTGAGATTCTGTGTACTCTTGTGTTGTGATTATAGGAACTTACTACCTCAGTGTCAACAACATAAAGCCCCTAAACCCATGTCTTACCCATCTTGAAACTTGTTTGTTCAAGTGTTTTTATACTTTTATACAAAATATAAGTATATACATACTCCTTTGCAGCCTTTCGAATTGTTTTATTATAAAAAATTAAGTTATGTGAAGAATATTAAAAACGAGAAAATTTTACATTGTAAGTTGAATTATTGAAATTGGTTTTTTAACTGTTAAAAAGTTGATGTGTGATTTCTGTTCTAACACTTTTTTCCTTACAAAATATGCATGCAAGGTAAGGTACAGTCGAATTCTTATACTTAGCTGTACGAGCATGCAGTCTTATGTAGTTTCTCCTTGTCCTCCCTGAGGAGATACATAGAGAGAGCTGTGAATGAAGTGGATGCTCACTGTCAGTTAAAATTTCTGTAGCTAGTAGCTTGCAGGAATTATATGTCGACCAACTACAGTGTTAATCAATTGAGCCTTTATTAATGATGTTTGTACTTCCCGGTCTTATCATTGCCTCAGTGAGATCTATGACATACGTCATGTTCCTGATTGGTTGATCATTTTGTGTTAATCTATTTTAACATGAAAAAGTTAATTTATGGCATAAACGCTAAGTAGTATCGCTTACTTACCGCTTCATAATTGTGCTTTTTTAATGTTTAAAACAATAATCACCCAGTATCTACAGCCTACAGTCTAGCGTCGACTTCAACACCAAAGCAACAAGTTCCCATTGCTAAACATACACCTCGGAAAACTTCATGTCTTGATCATCAAAATCCATATGGACCTATGGAGCTTATTCGCACATATGACATTTTGAATCCGAATGATGTTAATAACATGATAATTCCTACTAACCAAGAATCTACAACTACTGATGGGAATACTAAAAAAACAGATGTAAAGGTAAGGTGCTTTTGCGATTTTCAGAAAGTCTTGTTAATTTATCGTTTACCCAAAACAAAAGTGACATACCATTTCCCTTGAAACATATTTTTATGCTAAGATTGTCGTAAGTGTATTTCCTAAACAAACAATTATTTAGTGGTATACCTTCCTATTTATATTCTAAACTGATCTTCATGTCAAAGAATGCCATTTAGATGTTTATTCATAAATCTAAGATCGTCAGGAATGTTTTTATAGACGTACCTTTTCTGCATCTATTACGAATGAAAGTTGCAGTTGGATAAATTCTACTGTATAACTCCGAGAACTTTTCCAAGACACTCTAATTTTCAGAAAAAGTCACAATCGATGCTCAGAATAATTAATTTCGCTCTGGATTAATGAAGACTCACAACTTCCTTAACTAACTTTCCTCTTCTGCTCAAAACTCTACACCTGACTTCTACGTTACAGAGATGGTGGCAGCAGGATACGCGGTCTATGCTTTAAATGGAACGATGGTTGAACACTTGATATCTCCTCATCTCTACTTTTAATGGCCATGTTTCTCAGCCTTGCAGGGGGCAGTGCAAAATGTAGTACACCACACTTGACGTTTAATAGACAATCGTATATTACGCTGGCTCCAGAAGTGAGATTAGTTGGCTAATTCTAAGCGAGACGTCTGTATCCTTGCAGAGAATTTGTCGGTTACCAACCCACCTGGGTTGATTTGACTTCTCACGTAAGTGAATTGGTCTACGAACCCCAAACATTTTCGAATTGGCACTCAAGGTGTCCTGAAGAGTATGCTTATTGTCAGCATCTTCACCTAACAAGAATATGTTATCTGCGTACTGTAGGTCTAACAGTAATTCTCCTGAAAAGTCAGACGATGATAGGGCAACGTCTATAAAGGAATGGAGAGAGTAGACATTATTGACGGACACTACTCGAAGTGTCCAACTCACGTGGTTATTCACCATGGGCAGTAACCCCCACCGGAGTTCGAGTACAGGGCCTTCAAAGCATCTGATGTACCTACCCGACATCACCATAAGACCTCTTGATCGGCAGAGATGAATGGCTCCCTCAGGTTGAAAAATACAACTAGTGTTGGATGACAATCAGTGTGTTCATGCTCCAGAAACTGGCAGAGTGAATATCTGGTCGTTACACCCATGACCACATTTGAAGCCTGCTTGCTTTCCTCTTGTGTACTATCCTCGAGCTGTATGTAAGCGTCGTTTGATTTTGAAACCTAGAATCTTAGACTCTGTGTTCTTCAGACTGACTCTGCTGTGTTTATCACAATAGGATTTCCCCCTTCATTTGATGAGGGGAGCGAATTACTAAAAAGCGTTAGGGAATTCATGCTAAACCGAGACGTACAGTGGGCAAAGTTAAACGACCTGAAGTAATTATGTGACTAGTAGAAATGTTGGATACATATTTAATGTCAAATGTAATCACCAAAGAGGTGGAAATTCAGGATAATACGATCTTTCTGAAGATGTAAACTTTAACAGCTTTGGTGAAACAACAAATTGACGTTATATGCTTTTTCATTACTTCGAAGGATTTAGAAATGACAACAAAGTATCAAGGGAGAAAGGAGCGACTACACTACTAAGTGCTTATGAAGTCTAAAATGTTAGATCCTTTGAATGGTGCTCGAAAATGTGGTCAAGAACCCTTGTCGTTGTTTTCCAATATGTTTTCTTTTGCATATTCGTGAAAAACTATGAATACACAAGTAGGTGACGTAAGATAAGGATGTAATCCACCCTTACTAGATGATGTAAATCCAAATTATGATCGTCAGCATCTTTGGTCATACACTTGTTCTGTATCGGAGTGTAATATCCACTATTTATGGTGTATGAATACATATGTGGTGTTGAAGAAGAGAAGGCAAAGCACTTACGGTAAACCGACTAATGTAGTGGTTGTCATTAGGATGGACTAGCTTTTATTCTGTTTTCGTGTCTGCCAACATATCTCAGTAATTTACGTCCCACATCACCTCCAATCAAGTTGCGAGTTCAAGTTCACTCCATCTATCTTGATCAACGTATATCTGATGACCGTTCTAAACCCTATATGTAAGACAAGACTCATGAGTTAACTCACAAATATGTACGAGGATTCCATGTTTTATTTTATATTCAGTCTTTATGTACTATTTTAAAAATTAGCATAACCTTTTTTCTCTCCGGTTTAACATGTCGTAAGAGTAAATTTCCATGTTTTCATAACAAGATCACTACAATTATGCCATTTACATGTAAGATTTCACCACTTACATATCAAACCAAATTTCACGTGTAGTTTTATTTCATAACATATACTTAAAGAGTTGCTTCGTCTAATAAGCCTAAAATACCTAGGCTTTCATCTCTTTTGTCACGCTCTGTGTAGTTATCGTTTATCGAACCGACAAAGCGTGATAAATTTTTTCATAAATGGATTATGCTGATTGGCTAAGTTTTATCGAATGAATTTTCTGTTTAGTATGTATTTTAGAACAGTACTAAGTGCAGTAATATATATGTATATATATCGGTGCCTTTTCGTGAATAGAAAGCTGAATCTTTTTATTTCTTGATGCTTGTAATTGCCCGTTCCTACGCCAGATTCCATTGATCGACACATGGCATTTGGACTCCTATATAGATGCCATGATATTTCCTTCAGATTCATCATGCTATAAGTTACTTGGTGTTGATCAGAAGTGGAATCTAGGACGCACATTTCGTCCCATTTGGGACTCGTCAGCAGAATGTACATGCACTACGGTAGCTGGTAGTGTGTTCACGGATACTCGAACCCACCACCAATCGTTCCAGATGCCTTAGCGTCATCAGTGGAAACACCATCAGTCAGGTAAATCCAGGTGGTGAGTCAGAAATAGGAAAAAACGGTCATCCTAGATTCCACTGGTAATCACAACTAAGCACATTTAAGAAAGCCGGAATTGTTTTGGAACAGCTGGATTATACGCTTATTCACAGTATCCATTTTGTTCTTCTGATCACTGAATAAAAGTTCCACAGAGAGATATCTGTGTAGTTTATTCGCAGCTTATTCGCTTAGCGTTCAAGTAATTTCAGTGTCATCCTACAGATGTCTGCCCTTGATAGCCTGTCCTTGATTAGGATTAACTTTATCGATCAGAAAAAAGAAATGTTTATTTTGTAATTACTGAAGTTACAGTCAATTCATCACTGTAATTCGCTTGAAAAGTGTTCATCATACTGTATCAAGCTAAACAGACAGATGGACAAAATCAGCGTTGAACCTCACATAGAAGTGCTCCGGTTCAGTTTGCCACACTTCATAGCGGCATACAAAGAACAGGTGGATAGAAAAAGACTGATATTAAAGTAAACATATTATATTGTTTCGGGGACCCCATCCAGATGCTCCACAACTTCCTACATGGCTCCGTCCAACAGTCGGGGACTTCATTGGCTAGTGCCTTGTACTGGAACTCAACGTTGCTACGAAAATACATATGGTCAGACAACCGTAGTCTTTTCACATCTACTTTATGCGGCCATTTCTCACAATCTTATATCAGGACAGAATGGACTGCAGCACAGTACACTTGCCATTCAACATGTAGCCGCGTATTTCGCCGGTTGGCGCCAGAGATGACGCAAGTTGGCAAATGCCAAATTAACCTTGTGTATCCGAGCTGATATGTCGTATACAACTGACACAACTTCCAAAGTGAATTGGTTGACACCACTTCACTACCTACTATCAAACATGGAGTGGTTGCAGACCAATCCTGAGGCATAATCCTACGTTGACATGTGCGAAACATGCCAAACGTACTCAGATTGCTGCTCAACACGTGTGTTCAGAAGACCCCGCATTTTATTAGAATGTTCACTATACAGAATATTATCGCGTATGTGCTCTAAGTCAACCAGATGCTCTCTAGGGAGTAGATAAATCTCTGTGAGGTCAGACGCCTATGGTTATTCCAATTACTTCATCAATAACGAAGTTAGGCAGGAACGATGACAGTGGGAACCCTCTAATGGACGCCACCAGCTGTGAATTCAGATGATAACTCTCTATAAGTCTTTGTAGAGTTGCATGAGTTCGAGTAGAGATCACTGGTGAGCGTTATTTGTTTGCTCGGTAATTCTTTCACAGTCAGACACTACCACAACACCTCACAGTCAACAGAGGCAAATATCGCCTTCAGGCCAACAAATGTGGTAGCTGTCGACCATTGGCTGGTAGATATGCCTGTGTTACAGAACCTATCGGACGGTGAAAATATAATAGACCCACTCTCGACCAGGTCTGAAGACTGCCCGATTTTCTCGCGTTTGCTGTTCTCGAGCTCTATTTAGACGTCGGATAACTTTGAATTTTCACCCTGTCCCATCCTATTGTGTGGTTGTGTGTAATTGCATGCATAGCTATGCCTGAGCTTTTTTCTAAATTCCTTACCTTACTAGGATCTACCAATTTTGACCTAGCTAAGTTTTTATGTTCCGATAGCCTGATTGATACTGGTCGACTACTTTGACCTATGTATTTGACCTCGCAATCGTTGCAAGGGTTTTGGTGAACTAAGTTATTCTGTTTAATTGGGTCAATAGGATCAATTTAAAAAAAAAATTGGTAGATCCTAGTAAGGTAAGGAATTTAGAAAAAAGCTCAGGCATAGCTATGCATGCAATTACACACAACCACACAATAGGATGGCACAGGGTGAAAATTCTTAAAAACTAACATAACAGGGTGGAGGGAGAGATTGATAACTGAATCTTTGTTAATCGAATCAACACCTAACACATGCAACAGGAATGACTCAGCACCTGTTCCGGATATATGGAAACTTTAACTGCCCATCTGGCGATGAGACGAGAAAATTAGGACTATATAAAGGATATCTCAAAGTTGACAATAAATTATGTCCGAAACGTAATCCAGTAAACGATACTGTTACACTGTGTGGTAAATCTAATAAATCAATAAAAATGGAATTACATTTTACCACAGCGCACAAGTTTTACTCTTATATTAATGTTACTAATTTTCTACTCATGTTGGAAAATGTCAGCCAGTCACACATCTTATCATGATAACCACCGGCCTTCACCTTCACATCCGTCCCCTTCTCTGTCTCTCTTTTTAGTATTATATTATTGACAATCTTACCAGTGTTGACTAACCGAGCGTATCCGGTTAAATCTTCCTAAGGGTACATCTATAAGTTTCCGAAGAATATATAATATTTATCTCTGCTATTTCCCTTCCCTGTAGTACTGTTTCCCAAACTTGATTTCGGTGTTAATCTTAGGTGTCATCATCTCTGGAAAATTGTGATAGTGTGAAGTTTGCTTTTCTTTCAAACACATATTCGTCAGCCAGCGTTTCTTGTTCATTATTGTAATTCCTTTTCATTAAACAAAGAAGTAGGGAATCCATTCGGTTTTGGTTTAAAATTAAGTGACTCTCACATCAAATGTCTGTCTAAAACAGATGGACAATCCCACTCCCCCCCCCCCGGTGCACTCTGTAATTAACTATTTTAAGCCTACTAAGATTTTATTTTATAAGTGCTAAACATATCGGTATTCTTGTATGCTAAAGCCATAGCGCAAAGGGACTCGCAGTTTCTCAGCAGAGTTTACGACTATTAAGCTGTTGGCCAGATACTACAAATACAGTGGTTGGTAATGCGCTAGGTTAAGTATTTTACGACATTGGTTTTCAGTCACGATATTACTTTTTTTCAGGACTCAGCTATAAATCGTAATTCGGTATATGAACGGCCAATTAATCGGCAAGAAACTATTTTACATCAATTATCAGAGATTCGTAAAGTAAGCGATCTATGTTTACAATGATTATATACGTACATATAACAGTTATGTATTAATACATATCGTACTATTGTGCAGTTCACTAGGTTCTGAATGGGTATTTGGATGTCTCTAGCATCACAACTAGGGTGAATTGACCAAAAGTAATCGCGACTTTCGTATCTGTGGTGAAGTTTAACCGGAGTGTCAACCCATCGCATCTCATAAAATTTCTGAAATCAGTTCAAGTGGTCAATTTGCCCTATCACTCCGCTGCTGTTACCAACCAGTAGAGTCAATGCTTCAATTTCTTCCTTAAACTTGAGATTATCTACTTGTTTTCTTAAGTGATTTAGTGTGATTAGGACCTCCATGAACAAGCAATTCTATGATTGTAACTGAGATAAATTATTGCTATCCGCGACAAAACAGGAACTGCAACCAATCTTGATCATGTAGATATGAGCTATTGACCTTTCTCTTGGACTTGATAAATGGAAAGCATTTGACTCCAGTTTTTGTTCATCATGTAACGCACATTGATTGAAAATACTTCCTTTGTTGTATTTCACTTTCAGGGTTTACAACTACGCCAGATGCTCTGTGAATCAGGAAAATATGACGCAGATAGTGACGATTAGATGCATACTTGAACAGTGACTTTTAAACAGAAATTTCTTATTCCTCTTGAACTCGAAATATCATATCTATACTGATACATATCAATAGATTTCTTGTGATGTTATTTTACAATTTTTTCACTAAAGAAACACATCATAATCACTCTTCTTTTACAGTCATTCTTATCTGTTTCCTCTTTCATTCACATGACAGATGTTATATCCAAATTGTTGATATAATTTAGAAGAGTTTAATTGTTGCATGTATTTCTCATTTCATCGCTTTCATGCATTGCTGCGTGCATGTGTGTGTGTGTATGTGTGTTCGGATCTCCCAACGAACCTTATTCATCAATAGGTAATTTAGGTTAATTAGAAGATAGAAAAGCAGACAGAATGAGATAACAAACACTAAGGTATTTATTTGATCGAATATTTTTGCATTTGTTCCCTTTGAAAATTTGTTCGGTTTTGTATTAAAAATTTTAATGATGCTGCATATTTTGAATAAAAATCGAATAAAACATAACATAGTAATTTCTCGTTTTATTTATCAACTGTTTTGATTTCAGATTTGTAAATATTGTACATCAACAGGTGAAGTTTTATTGGATGTAGGACCTGGCATACATATAACTTTTTTTTCTAAATAGATTATCAGCCATGTTTATTGTGTGAAAGCTAGTTGTTTACTGTCTGATTGCAGATAGTTTGAGTTCACTTTAAACTTGTAAGCTAATGGTTGAAGGTCAAGTTTCTAAGTCAACCCTTCATTCTATCTGTACTAGCTATGTTGATTCCTAGGTATCATCTATGTTCCGCCTAAAAAAACTCAGTGTCGAACTTCTTTTTCATTTGCTTTCATTTATTTACCCATAGTGTGTGATAAACGAATATTTGAAAATGCGATTTCCAGTGTTCAGTGAGTAGTTTTCAATCTGCTTCATTGGCACGTAATCAATAGGGTACGTCAGCTTTGATAGTGATTGAGGTGGTCTCATTTAGCATAAACTAACCATTTTCCAAAAGTGGAGTTGTAACACGTGGGTCTTGAGTTCAAATTGTATCCCACCTACTTCGATCTGGATGACCGGGTAGTAGCATATGTCCTCACATAATATATGTATAACTAATAGGGTAGTGTATTAACACATATACCGGGTTGTGCTGCTTTGTTGCTTTTTGTTGATGACATTTTTAAAATGAACCATTTAGAAAATTGAAATACACCTTTTCTATGGAGATGAAAATTTAGGTGATAATAGAATAACGTAAAATTGATTGGATGATTGTGCATTATCAGATAATTTCGTATGCTATGTCATAGGTGATTTTATTTAGATGACTTCATCCATTTTCAGGTAGACCATTTAAAGATTGGTCCCTGATGGAATCATGAGTGTGCACTACTGAAGAGTCCAATACTAGGACGAAACAGCTGTCCAGTGCTCCCAGGTTTCCACTGTTTCTCCAACTTATGTCAGTCCATGATGAATACCAACTTGAAATTAATGAATTAATCCACACAAACCCCTAAATTGAACTAATCTAGTACTCATTGGTGACTGCCTTCGAGTGGGTGATTCCCTAACTTCAGTGAGAAGTGACCGGCGAGGCCAACCAAGTCGAACATGAGGACAGTTACCCAACGACGGTATTGGATGGAGGTCGTGCTCTATCGCGGACTGACAGAACTAGGAAATATGGACTACTCCATCCCGACCCCGTGGTTCACTGGTAATGTGCTGGTCTTGGGACTTGGAGGTCGTCGGTTCGGTCCCTGGTGGGACGGGATCATGAGTGCGCACTGCTGAAGAGTGCCGTACTAGGATGGAACAGCTATTCAATGCTACCAGGTTCCTAATGTTCCTGCAACTAGTGTCAGTTCATGGTGAATGCCATCCTAAGTCTTGATATGTTCACCAGACATTTAAGGACCTTTGTCGTACAGAAAATGATTGATTTGATCTGTTGATAGAAAGAATCTCATCGTATTTATGTGTTTAAGAAAACTATTTCTGGATATGAAGGGTAGTAATGCTTCAGTCCACTAGTATCAACAATATAAAGATCTAAGTGGTTCAATTAGTAGGTGTGCAGATGTTAAATATTAGTGGAGTCTATAATTGTTCCAATCTTAGTCGAAATCATCCATGATTTCATGAACAGATTTCTCCAGTGAGATGAATTTTAATGTTGTCAATTTCGCCTTGTTTTTACTACTTTGGTGTAGTATTTGTCTGTTTTCGTATTTTATCCGTTTATGTTTTGTTTGTCTTTTCACTTTAGGACTACATTCTATATGTTATACATTGAGGTTTTTTGCGTATTAAACTCTGGTATTGGATTCGAGAAACTAACCACACAAAATTTGGAAACGTGTTATATATGTTTGCGAAATTATATTACCACCTAATTTCAACATTCACGTATAGGCTGAAGTACTTCATGAAAGTGAGTGGATCGCTAATATTGTTTAAGATTGATAGATTATTACTTTGCGTGGATATCATCAACGGGATGAATTCTAAGTTAAAATTTACTTTTGACCCTACATAACTTCTTATTAACTTTTGTTATTTCGTGACTTGAAGCGTAGTTTGTTCTATGCATATAACTGTAGTCATCTATTGTTTTCTTCTAATTTAAACCTTTCTCATGTTCGTTATGCTTTATGAATTGTCGGAAAACCACCCTTACCACTTCAGCAGTGCTGCTTTCTATAGCTAGATCGATCAAGGTGGTCTAAACACTTAACATCTATTTCTCTCGTTCAGGGTTGAGCTCATTATTGGTGCATTTGGAACTATTCAACTTAGGGAGCCGAATTATTCAAACCACTTAAAAACCTATCAGCTAACTGAGTGGAGTCATAAAAGCAAGTTTTATCGAGGTTCTCAGGTCGAAGCTGAGCGTGACGCACCACTTTCCTTGATTCTACGTATAACCAGTAAGTCCATTTGGCTATTCTGTCTTGAAGTACTTGAATGATCCCAACCGATAGATTCAATAAACCTGCGTACATCGTTGATAAGCTCAAATTCAAATGAGAGAAATGGAGGTATAAATTTTGAAATCACCGTAATGTCTAGAAAGGAACCTTACTGATTGACAAAAGTGGTTTCTGACTATCCATAGCGCACTAATAACGATATAATGTACAGCCACCCTACCTCATTTCTTGTCATCATTCTTACCGTGAAGCAGATCACAATTTGTGACCTGTAAATTTCGGTTTCGAGAGGAAACTGCAGTAGAATCTTACAAATAGATTGGATCTAGCTTTATCACGTCCACTGCAATCTGAGAGTCTTGCCGCCACGTGATCAGTTTGCATGTTGTTAGAATCTTAATTATATTTGCAAACTAACTGAAATTATTTTTTATCTATACAGTCATACTCAAATGGTTAGTCATTTTGTCATCAATCTTAGGTACTACACTATGCTTAAAACAGTATTTAAAAGTTGCGCTTCAGGAGTTGATAGTGACCACGTTGCTTGATATTAGCTGCCAAACTCCTACTCCAGCTTCATCCAGAGTTAAGTCTGCTATGTAGCATTTATCTGAACATGACAGCAATGCTCATCCTGAGGAAAACTGGCGTGATATTAAGTGTGCTGTAGGAAAAGCGGTAATGACAATTGTTAACCTACACCCAAAGGTTAGCAAACGTCATTGGATTTCACTGACGTAGTCCGAACTGGTCGATGCAAGAAGACTAATCTCAGCTGGCTCCGACCATGACAAAAAGCAAAGCAACCAAGAGTCTTCGCGTCGATCGCAAGCAGTAGTGAGTAGCGAAAGCGAGAGAGATGGAGAAGGCACCAGCGTTGGGTAGAACTCAGCAACTATTTAGGCTCGTCATGGATACCGGCAAGAAAAAGATGGTAGTGAAACCATCACCGAAAAAGATAGGACGCTGATAACCTCTCAGGACAGGTGACTAGAACGTTGGGCGGAACAATTTGAAGCACAGTCCAACTGACCCTCAACAACACTTCATTTGCCCAGCATCCAACCTGAACCTGAATGGGATGTCTATGTCCGTCCTTTCACCCTTCTTGAAGTTGAGAAGGCTATATCGAACCTGAAACAATGCAAAATAGCCCGACCTGACAGTTCTCTATCTGAGGTTTTCAAGGATGGAGGTAAAAAATTACTGATAAGAGTGACGAAGGCACTAGGTACTGTATGGAAATCAGAAGTAGGCCCGTTAGATTGGAGTACTTCACTGATCATTCCAGTACATACGAAGAGAGAGGTCTTCCTGTAACTTCCTGTCTTCTTTCCAGGATCCTTGGGTTTATAATTATCCAACGCCCAACTGAACAGAAAACTTTCGAAAACCAGGCAGGTTTCATTACTGACCAAGGGTGCATCGACTATATTTTTGCCCACAGGCCAGTGGCCGATAATTGCCATATTTATCAACCTCAAGGCAGCATTTGACTCGGTCGACCATGGGTTGTTGTGGCAGTGTCTAACTGTGAAGGGAGTACTGAGAAAGTGCATAACGCTTATCAAAGGTCTCTACTCGAACTCACGCAGCCGTGTTAGGGCATATAGAGAGTTGTCAAGTGAACCGATAAATACTAGTAGTGTCCACCATAGATGTCTACTGTCGCCATTTCTATTTAACTTCGGTATAGGCGTACTGATGGACATAACCCTATGTATATCTGACTTCACAGGGATTGATCTACTTCCTAAAGGTCATCTGGTTGTTTTGGAGTATGCAGACGATATTGTCCTGCTGGGTGAAAACGCTAACAAATTGCAGGTTCTTGTGAACGCATTGAACTGAAATCTGAGTGCGTATGGGATGCGTTTTGCTGACACCTGTCAGATATAAGATGATGGTCCATGAATGGTCTGCTGCAAGTACTCCCAATTTAATGATAGGGAATAAAGTGGTTGGTACCACTTCACTTACTTGGGAAGTTGCATCAGCCCAAACGAGCTGATTGCATACAACATCTCAGCTTGGTTACAGAGGGCCAATTTAGCGTTTGCCAACTTGCGTCTTCTGTGACGCCAACTGGAGAGATATCCGCCTGCAGTCTGTTCTGTCCCGTTATACGGGTATGAGACATGGACGCTGAAAGTAGAAGATATGAAAAGACCACAGAGTTTTGATCATAGGTGTCTTCAAAGCACCACTCACGTTTTGTGGAATCACCGTGTGAGCAGTGTTGAGTTCAAACAAAGAATACTAGGCAAGACAGGCAAGTAGATTAATGAGGTTGTAAACCTTCATCGACTGACGTGTTTCCGACATGTGTTGCTCGTTCTCAGCCACCACCTACCTTGACGCTCCATGCTAGGGGAAGTTAGATTAAGTTGGAAGAGGGTTCAGAGTCACCAGAAAATGAACTAACATCAGTGGATGAAGTCTCTTAATGTTGGTCTGAAGCGTGTTGGGAGATTTAGATTAACTGGTTGAGGCCCGTGAGACGAAAGGAATTGGTGGCTGAGGACACTTGGTGACACGGTTGAAAATCACTCAGTGGAGCAGATGTATTCTTCTCTTGACATCTTTCAGAGCTTAAATATTCACATCAACCTTTATCTTCAGATTGTTTATTGTCTAACAACTTTATCTAGTTTGCTATCACCGTTTTTGTATTCACCTGTTTTTCAAGTTCTACTGTGAAGTGGGGCGAGTTGAGCCGATGCACATTTATTCGAGGTTCCACTTTGATTTTGTCAGTCAGTCAGTCTTGTGGAAATATTATCCTTGATTACCAGCGTTTCGAGATCTTACGGCAATATGAATATACTCGCCGATGATTGCGAAAAGTGGATTCACGGCAGATTGAAGAAGGTTTTACAGTATGAGCTTGCATCACCGAAGTTTTACAAACACTAATCACGCAGCTTATGCTGAGATTCTATCAAACAAAGAAATGATGTATGTACAAAATACAAAACTGCTTATACAATGTCTGTTTTGGTTAAAAGTCTGTCTTCGCTGTAGCTCGGTCGTTGTGGATTTGCTCAAATATGACGGTTCATTTAAATAATTCAAATAAACTTTCTATGATGGAGCAAAGGACACGCAATAAAAATGCACTGTTTACCTGATATTTACGGCTAATGATAACGTGGTTAACACTGAACATTACCTTTTTCCTATGCGACGAAAACAATAGTAATTGAATGCGTTACTGATTCGAAACCTATCTGAGAACCGCGTCAGCCTCAGTGACCCGATGATTGAAAAAAATTGGGAGACACATACGTACTCAGCTAGATACTGTATATCACCGTCTGAAATATTCATGATATCTATACTCGAAAAGAAGTGTACTCCATAGGGCTGTGGCTCAATGGTTCAGGAAGGTGACTTTCAATCAGTGGGTTGTGGGTTCGAAACCTGCTCCACCTACTGAAGTGTGGGTGCTAGCCAGGTTGTATCATTAGTCCTCACACAATAGGTATGACTACTTACCTACCGCACAAGAGTGCACTCTGCTTCTGAATACATTCCGATTTTTTTTCGTGGCTGTGAATCAAGACGGAGTATTTGCGAATGTTATAGGTATCTCATAACCATTACTAAGTTCGAAACATCGTTCACTTGGGATGAGGTCAACAGTTTTATAGTGCTAATTACTAAATGATGAAGGTAGATCATTTCGTTTTGCTGCTTCTTTCAATCGACCTAGGTAATCGAAAAGCATATTACATACCTGTGTACTCTCTCAAAGTGTTGTTACCTTACGAGTTGCGTAAAAGGATATTATTATTATTATTATTATTATTATTATTATTATTATTATTATTATTAGTCCCTTGGGTTCCTAGTGGAACATAGGGCTTCAGTAGCACGCCTCCAGTGACCTCTGTTCTCTGAGATCTTTTGAACCTGGTCCCACGACAGCCCACAAGCTCTCATTTCCTCCTCGCACGACCTCCTCCATGTCACCCTCGGACGTCCAACTCGTCGCTTCCCATGGGGATTCCACTCGAGCAGGCCTGACGCGTGATGTCCTCCGTCGGCCTTCTCAGTGCATGGCCAATCCATCTCCACTTCTTCCTGCATATTTGTTGCGTGATAGGTTCTTGGTTGGTTCGTTCCCAGAGTTCCTTGTTGCTTATTCTTTCTGGCCATCTGATCTTCAGTAGCGAGCGTAAGCAGTTGTTGATGAATGTCTGTAGTTTATTGGAAATACCTTTCGTGACGCGCCAAGTCTCTGAGCCATACAAGAGCACTGACTTGACGTTGGTGTTGAAAATCCGTATCTTGTTCCGCATGCTGAGTGCAGAAGATCTCCACACTGGTTTCAGGCTAATGAACGCCTGTCTTGCTTTTCCGATTCTGACTTTGACGTCCTCGTCCGTCCCGCCTGTAGTTGAAACAGTGCTTCCTAGATAAGTGAAGGAGGTTACTTCCTTCAAGTTTCTCCCGTTGACGGTGATTGGAGTTTGTTGTTGTTGTTGATGGTGGTGGTGCGGTATCTTCATCACTTCTGTCTTCTCTATATTCACCTGAAGTCCCGTCTTCGCTGCCTCTTCTATCAACTTGTTAGTTTTTGCCTGCAGATCTTCAAGTTTATGTGACATTAGGCATAAGTCATCGGCGAAATCCAAGTCTTCTAGGTTCTTTTCCGTCGTCCAGTGTATCTCCCTCTTCTCGCTGCCTACTGTTTGCTGCATGATCCAGTCCACCACAATAAGGAATATCATGGGAGATAGTAGGCAACCTTGTTTCACTCCTGTCTTCACTTCAAAGTCATCACTGAGCTTCCCATTGTGGATTACTTGGCATGTGGCATCTTCATATAGTTGTTGAATGAGGCGGATAAAGGTTTGCGGTACTCCGTAGTATTGAAGCAGTTTCCAAATTACTTCTCGGTCGACGCTGTCAAAGGCCTTCTCAAAGTCGATGAAGTTGAGGTGGAGAGGTGATTGCCATTCTATGCTCTGTTCTATGATGATACGAAGCGTTGCAATTTGGTCCCACATGATTTGTACTTCCTGAAGCCTGCCTGTTCCGGTCGTAGTTTTGAATCCAGTGCATCCCTTAGCCTCTCCAGGATGATGCGGCTTAATATTTTACTTGGGGTGGACAGGAGAGTGATTCCGCGCCAGTTCTTGCAAGCACTGAGGTCTCCCTTCTTCGGCAGTTTGACAAGGTAACCCTTCTTCCAATCGTCAGGTACCTTCTCTTCCTTCCACACCTTCTGCAATAGTGGTGTGAGCATGGCCGCTGTTGTCTCTGCATCTGTTTTCAGTGCTTCTGGCGGTATTCCATCTGGTCCTGCTGCTTTCCCACATTTCAGTAGCTTTATGGCGTTCAGGACTTCCATTTTCGTTGGGGGATTAATGTTCACTTGTAGTTCAGCGGCTGCAGGTGGTATTTCTGGACGAAGTGCAGGTGGTGGTCGATTCAAGAGCTTCTTGAAGTGGTCGGCCCATCGTTTCCTCTGTTTCTCTTCTTTTGTAATTAAATTTCCTTCTTCATCTTTTATTGGTTTCATCTGTGTTGGTCTCTTCCCTGATAGCAACCTGGTTATTTGATACAATGTCGTCAGGTCTCTCTTACCTGCAGCCTGTTCTGCTTCACTTGCCAGTGTTTCGTAGAAGTGTCTTTTGTCTTTGCGTGCACTCTTCTTCACTTCTTTGTCCAGTGTTTTATACATTGTGCTCAGTTCCTCTTGTCGTTGAGCATCCTTGCACTGGTTTATCTTCTGCTTCACCATCCTCCTCTCCTCTATCAGCTTCCAGGTATCCGTCGAGATCCATTCCTTGTCTTCTTTCTTCTTCCTTCCTAATACTGTTGTGCAGGTTTCTTTCCACATAGCTTTCAAAGACTTCCAGTGTTCTTCCACACAGGTTTCTTCAGGGATGTCCCTCGATGTCTCCCATTTTGTCTTGATGGCTGCTTTGAAGATCTCCTTTGTAGTTTCATCCTTCAGTTTCCGAGTGTTGTACTTGAACTGAGGTCTATCACCAGCTTCCTTGAAGGCTTTTAACTTGATTTCGAAGGTTCCTTGCACTAGATAGTGGTCTGAACCTACATCTGCTCCTCTTCTTGACCTTGTGTTAAGTAGACTGCGTCTCCATTTTCTTGAGATTGAGATAAAGTCGATTTGATTTTTAGTGTGTCCATCTGGTGAAATCCATGTCGCTTTGTGGATATCTTTGTGCCTGAACACACTGCCTCCAATCACCAAATCGTTGAATGCGCAGAATTCTGCAAACAATTCTCCATTCTCATTCATTTCACCTAGTGCCTCTCGACCCATGGTTAGTTCTCTTCCCGTGTTGTCCCCTCCCAGTTTGGCATTCATGTCGCCCATCAGAATTTTGATATCGCCAACTGACGTCTTGTCCAGTGTTGATTGAAGTTGTCTGTAGAAATCCTCCTTTTTCTCTTGCTCTGCATTATTTGTAGGTGCATAACATTGTATGATTGTGACCTTTCTTCCTTTTGAGTTGAATCTTGCTGTCATGATCCTGGAGGAGATTGGTTCCCACTGCATGAGAGCCTTCGATGCTCTTGAGGACATCATGATAGCCACTCCCTCAGTGTGCTCGTGGTTGGCGTCTGGGTGACAATATCGGAGTAGATTATTGATTCTCCAGTTGACAGTTTGGAGAGTCCACTCCCATTCCATCTGCTTTCGCAAATCCCAAGCACTTCGATGTTGTACCTTCTCATCTCCCTTGCAATCTGGGCTGCCTTACTGGGTTCAAACATCGTGCGGACATTCCATGTCCCCACGTTTACTTTCGCTTTCATCGAGAGAAGACACATCGGCCAATTGGCTTCCCGAAGGCTTTCACCAACTGGCGTCATTTCGCCTCTCCGATTCCAGCGGGGAATAAGTCTGTTTTCATTTTTTATATTTTGTTTGTGCTTTGAAGTTTCTTTAGCGGTTAGATTTGTTTTCCGGTGTAGGGTTGCTAGCCCTATGCCCAACCTTCCCTCTTTACCCGGGCTTAGGACCGGCTAGTAACTAGTAAACTAGTTAACCAGGTGAGGTTTGCGTAAAAGGATGCTATCAAATAATCTAATCGCTATAATTTTGTTACTAATGGTATTTTCGAGTATCTCCGACACTAACTGAAATGAATTGTTGGATTTGTAGTTCCTTTTGAATGTGCTGATATGTACTTATATATAGCAACAGTATTAGTATATATGCATACGTTAACGTGGTTGCCGACATTCACAGCCAATATTATATAGAATTCCTTACAAGAGTATCATATTTGTCGTGCTGCTGAACTTCATAACTTGATGCTTTGTATGGTTGCATATCCTCAATAGTTTCCCATGACATTTGTAGAGTTGCTGTGCTGTTTTCAAAATGTTATTTTGTGCCAGAACTTGCGCTCTCAAACCTACGCAAAAAAGAGCAGAGATCGTAACAGTTACCGTACATGCACATGGGATTTATGGACTTAGGCAGAAAAACGAACGAAGCAATTCAAATTGTTCCATGAAATGTGCATAAGCTTTCGTATATTACAATAGACTGCAGTTAATCATCATAGTGTGTTCAAGAACACACCCTAACCTTGTAGTGACTTGTTTAACTGTCGCATCTATCTGATTACTTATTGAGAATTATTAATAGGGATAGAAAAATGATACTTTATCCATATGATAAACGATTACTGAATAGTCGCGAGTGACTCTTAAGGCCACCGTAACAGCTACTGAAGTAATCAATTACAGCTCTGTATTTCAAGATAAATTACCTTTTCTAGCTGCAATACATAAACTCAATTGGTTATTTTAGTCATTTCTAGGGTGGCTTTTAAAGTCACTAATAATCGATAGTGTTTGTTAAACATTCAGACTAGAAACATCAAACTGCTGCAGTTACGCGAATTCTTTTGCATCTAAATCTACATCAGATCCATCTATGCTAGTGTGTTACCTATTCTGCAAATGGATATTTAAGCGAAATTTAATTTTTAATTTTTGTTTGTCATGTACTCAATTGTTTCATGCTTTTCATCTAATGTAATATAATATTGTTTTTCTCCAGCCTATAATAAGTCAACTGAGAAATATTCATCCATTTTTCCCACGTCAATTAAGAGCTTATAGTTTATTTTTATCGATTGTATGGTTATTTCTTATCGGAGGATTTCTCTGTACAACATGGCAACTTTGCTCTATACTGCTGAAACAACCAACTTGTGGTAATAATGTAAATCCAAATTATTACAGTAAACAGTGGATTCCATCTGTTTACACTGTATCACGGTTGACTGATGCAATGCTTAATGTCTGGCCTGTTCATATTGCACAGAATATTATACCATCACAAGGTATAACCTTGGTGAGTTGATTTCTTGTATTTTGATAAAATATGACCAAAAAGCATTGTGTTCATGTGAATTCATTTCATTTCGTGTACTACATAGTTCCTGATTGCATGCACACTGTTATAACACAATATCAGATGCGTTTCATCGGTCTTATTATTTTAAAAGATATTTTACTTGAGATCTATTTTACAGCATTATTGTGTAGCTCAACTCAAGAGCTTTATATTGACTCGTGGTTCAATTTCGTACTGTCTACGTTTACTAAATGAAGTCGATTATCGTGCCATTATCTCAATTTCCGTATATAAAACTAGATATTTCACTTTTTTGAATTGTGATATGTCGTGAAAATGTAATGCCGTTTGTGTGTACTTATGACTCATTGCATAACATATGAAGTGACTGACTCTAAAGGTCACTCTAGCAAATACGGAAGCAGTCACATCTTCCAAAGAATAACCATAGTAATTGAAAATGTTTGTTTCTGAAGAACAAGTATTCGTTATATTATTTCTTGCAAATCAATGAACACGTCTTTTCACACACACCATGAAATAACAGCGTACTAGATACCTGCGTAATGCAGACGCGTTTAAGTGAATACTACAATGGATGGACCTAACTTATTTCAGCTAATGTTACACATATAGTAGACAGTCGGAATTTCACATGTACTGTCAGTGAAATCTTTGTGTGTGAAACGCTTGCTTACATCACTTCAGGAGACATAATTATGATCGCTTTATACCAGACACGATGTGTGATATAGTGAGGAATTCTCATGTGCAATCTTTGTCTCTAGTTTAACAGTGTGAAGGTTAGAAAGAAGTGACTTTGAAGGTCATCTTAGCAGCGATTGAAATGGTCAATCAGATTTCTCTATTTCGGTTGGAAAGGAAGATTTTTTCATAAAATGAAGAAATTAATTGGTTATATCACCTGTTGTTAGTGTGGAATTTAAAAGTGCCCATAGGATGAGTGGTAGTTAAAGCGTTGAAAATTCTTTGTATTCATTGGTGACTCATAAGCGTGGTATGGGTGATATTCAGATGTTGAACCGTGCAGACAGTCGCCATTAAGTGACTGTACAACGATATATTTTGTGGTTATCATACCAACGCCGACTAGTTTTGTATGTCAGTATAATAGACGCATACACACATCACAAATCATGGTTTTACCAAGTGATATGAAATTAACTACTGATTTTCTTCACTACGTTCGTCTCAGCTTTATATATTTATCAGTGAAATCAAGTGCAGAATGATTGAGTTCATTTGATTATTAGAAACAAGGCTTGCTACAATCATGTAAGTCCTGTTTATGTTATCAGAAAATAAAAAGTGACAAAGTTCACGACACAGTCAAACGCGTACTAACTGTCATCAGATGGATAGTTCATCTAATAAAATTGAGAGTAGCCTTTTTTTAATGATCATGTTACTAAGGTAATATAATTAAAATACTGATGGAAATTCTATTTGTATGGTTGTGAAACCAATATTCAGTAGAACTGTACTAAAGAGGCTTGCACTTGTGTATATGGCTGTGATCGGAAAAGCGGAGGATTTCAAGATTTATGACTCATCTTGGATTGCATACATATTGATTAGTCACTGGCAGGTAACCAACTTCATGTTTATACCTTGGTGCTGATCGAATTCTGTCGATCATTTTGAAATGTGGCTATCAGGCTAGTTGTCTCAACATCGCCATACACTTTGATAGATGTTAGTTGGATGGAGGTAGTCGACAGGAAGCCCTGAACGAGTGCTTTTTGGCACTCGTTAGGAAGACGTATCTGTAATCTCAAGGGGACTTATGTCCAGCCTGAGATTCGAACCTACGTCACTAAATGCTGCAATTAGAGACGTTGCCACTGAGCTACTTGGACCGCAACTGACCTCCCGTCGGATTGGATTAAGGATATTGATTGGTCACTGGTCTTTTATTTTAAAATAGTTTGATACTGTAGATAGATACTCAGATCGATACTCACCTGTTTCCTGGCATTCGTGTTAATTCTTTTTCAATTTGCAATTAGAAAATCGTGTCATAGTTCCTTTTTTCTGTTTTCATTCCAACAATAGGTCAGTTTCAGCAATCAAACACCACTTCCATACACTGATCAGTTAACGTTTGTTAGGGCATTTGATGACCGAGAACAATTTCGAGTTTTTCTAACTAGTATACTTCATGGTAGGTTGTTTTTGTTCGTTTGTTTGAACGTGTGTATGTGTGTGTTTCTTACAATTCATCTCAGGGTAAAATAAATTCTAGCTGTTGTGTATTCACGTGACCTGTTGTTTCATTTTGTAACTCGGACTCCTAATAAAATCTTTTCAGCGTTAACTGCTAGCAGGTGACTGACACACTATATATGTTGTCATGGTGATATTCTTCTCAATATTTTATTATATTTACCACCATTTGTTAACATTTTAAATGTATTGACTTTTTTTCCAAACTAAACAAACTCATATATTGATACTAAGTGAGGATTGAAGATGAAATGAAGATTTTAGGTGGCTACAGGATTCGAAACAGCGGATTCCGTGTTACCAGCCCAGTTCTCTACCAGCTGATTGAATCTTAATTTCACTTCGATCACCAAGGGATTTTTCCGACTGTCATGTGAATCCTTGATATGTAACCATCTGTTCCTCATAATCGCACTAGTTGCCTAGCTAGGTCTTCTCGTCCTAATCCAAATCTAGCTGAATTCGAAAGGGGCGGGCATCATACTGATCATCAATGTGACTGTCTGAGATAGCTTTGGTTTGACAGTCTCTCATTATTGATACTGGTGACGAAAGCGAAATTACTGTCTGGCCAGCAGCTGGGTTTCATACTTCAGCGGGTACTGCACTGGACCGGTAACCTGGAGGCCTGTGGTTTGAATCCTAACGCCTCATATATTTTCGTTTTGCCTTCAGTCATCACCCAGTATCATTGATAAGAGTTTCCTAAGCCATGACTATCTTAGGTAGTCACATTGATAAACTAGTATATCTATGTGTTTTAAATTGAAGGATTCTTTTCAAAAAATCTGAGTTATAAACTTTATACTCCACTTGTGACCTGCAATTTGTTGATGCAGATATCGAAATCGATCTGTGCTATTTCTTTATCGTACCGTTAAAATCCTACTGTATGAAAATATCTGACCTCTTAGGAGTTTCGACTGACTTACATGAATAGCCTGTGTAGTGGTGAACAAATCTTCGTTGTCAGTCAAACTATCAGTCCAGATTTCAGAAATGTTGACGATTACCAACAGACATGAAACCTAGGTCATTCAGTGGGGTTTCCCGCCAAATGGCTCGAACCAAATAACGCAGTGTTATGATTTTTTTCTATGCTATGTGCTAATTGCATTGTAGTATGTCTTTCTTCACGTGATGAAAACCTGGTGATGTTCTGTGTAAAGCTTTTGATTCCATGTCCTTGAAGAATACACAATTCAATCTTAGAAGATATAGCGGTTTCTTGTGGGTTTTTTCCACATGTGAATACAATTTCTGTGTGTGTATCAACAGATACTAAGCTCAGATGTAAAAGGCATCTTAATGATTAGATTCAATCATTTAACCCCATAGTTTACCACCTTTTTACTGTAATTCATGTTTATTCTGTATACGTGCTAAAATCAACTTTTCGACGCAAAGCAATTTGAATGACAATCGTTTTTCTAAAAAAGTTGTCGAGTGATGTTTTTTCTTTCCTAGGTTTACTTACTCGATTAATATGGATTTATCCATCTTGGAAACAATCATCTGCCAATCAGTTTTATAAAAAGACACAATATTATGTTGGTTTGGCCCGGATCAACTTGTTAGAACACGATACTGATGAGTTAAGAGCTGACTTTCCAATGACTTTCACAACCTTTTGTTTATGCAGCAGCGCATCTGAAAGTGTCTGCAGTCTACCATTGTTATCTTCAGTAAGTTTTTAACATATTTCCCATCTCTTTCTAGTGATACTCAAAAGACTTCCATAAAGAGTAACAGAAAGATGGAGAAAGTAATAAAACGTTTTGGTATGACGGTAATTTTTGTTTTTTGGAAGTGTACTGTAATAGATCTGTGACTCATGCGTCATCCAATAAATTATGAATTTTAGTGGCACCCCAATTGACAAAGTTTGGATAACCAGATGATATCACAGCCCTCACACAGGTGTGGTTTACTTCTTAGAGCATAGAGTTGTTCTTGGTTGCTGAGTTTTATTTGTATTTGGGATTAGAAGTATGAACCCGGTGAACTAATAAACTGCATTTCATGCTTGTAAAGCGATTCACTACACACTGAATTATCTTACGAAAATTGTTGCACGATGGTCTGAACTATGCAACAGCTTGTACTTGGTTTAATGGGTTGTATTCACTAGTCCGATTTGGAGACCACTGAGTAATGTTATAACAGCTTTTTGCTTTATTCCTTTACTTAAGTTTACAGCACATGGTATCTGCTTCCAAACCACTTTACAGGTATGACTTTAAAGATGGTCCTAGCAACAACTGAAATAACCTATTAGATATGTGTTTAGTCAGGAGAGATATTTTTGCGCATTAATGAAATCTCGCTGGTTATTTCAGTTGTTGTCAGGTTGAACTTAAGAAGTACTCATTCCTGCAGTGACTCTAAACACCACGTTTGCAACCCAGTTGGGCTTTATTTTATGAAAAACTACTTTTCCAGCAGAATTGAAGGAGTCTAGTTGCCTATCTTACCGGTTACTGAATTGGTCTGTAAAGTCACTCGATTCTACCGCTATAGCACATTTTAAATTTACAGTGTTCTGTTGTGTAAACATTTTTGTGCGTTTTAGTTAATCATTATATTATTAGAGGTTCCGCCTATGCAATTCAATAAACAGTGGTGACTTGTTTTGTCCCTTGGAATGTGTACTATCTTGTCTTATCATAACAATCTTTCACACTTGTAAGACTTCATCATTATTGCTACATCTTTGCGTTAACATAATATACCATTGATTTCAGGTTAGTATTCTTCATTCACTGACATCATTAAAGTTGAAACAATAAAAAGTGAAGCCATATTTGATATTCATCTTTAACCTGGGACCTGCTCAAACATGAATATGGACATTGTCCTTTTATGAAAGCACTTCTGTTGGGAACCTTATTAACTAACATCACAGTTGAATATCTGGAAACATTACCATGCTATGAGTAATATCCTTTTAAATTAAGTGATTTCTGTGTAGCTTGTTAGCTGCTTCAAATTATGGGTGTACCCTGTACATTTAGTTCAGCTTATCACATTCGAGTGGTCTTATAAATTTATACGCAGAGTTGATCTGTATATAAAAACTTTAATCGGCTTAGGGCTAGATCTCAAAAAATACTTGACGACGCTTAGAGTGCTCTGGTCTAACTTTTACCAATCCTTTGCACTAATGTGGATGTTCAGTAGTCAATTTCCGTTTGATAACTATGGCTTTGTATAACGTTAATCTATTTTAATTTCTTCCAGTCTAATTTACGCATATCAAGAGAATCTTGTTCAGTCAATGGAAGTTTAATCTATGAAGAAGTTATTGACTTAATGGCTGAATCACTACTTTCAGAGGATAAAAATAAACTTTCAACAAAGGATTCTATATATTTATTTTCACGTCAAATGTTTTTCCAATCAGATGATTTCATCTTACTGTCTTCATCATCATCACCTAGTAAATTATTACCATGGCTCGATAGTCCATTCATACTACATATTGATTTGAGTTATTTCATTGGATCTGTTACAAGTCCCAGTGTTGCAACTATTTCGTCAGTAAATATCACTTCATCTTCTCATTTAGCCACTCCTTTTATTGACTATCTTCATTTGAATTCACTAAGTCATAGTAATAATGATGGTAATAACACTGAAGAATCTCTACGCAATAATGAATATTTCACTCCAAATGCTAATGAATATGCTGATCATAGTTTTGATGATCAAATTATTCGCGTTTCGTATCAATATCGCAGTTCATCCCTTATTCATCAGGTTTGTCTAAAGTCTCTTATTCCTTGTCTTCATTATTTTGCGTTACAGTAGTACATTTCAAGTTTGTATGGTAATTTGTCTTTACTCTTATTGAAAGCTAAAATATGATGACAAAAGCAGCAATATATATATATATATATATATATATATATATATATATATATATATATATATATATACAGGTGAGCTGGATTTTATTGTAACTCGAAATACTTTAGAAAGCAGGCGAAAACCAATTTCTGAGTTCCACTGATCTTTAAGGGTTGCATTGATTTACCCAGGTTACAAGCTGTAAAATAACACAACACTAGACATCGTTAAAGCAAGCACCCTTTTAAAACCGTGTGAATTGGCAGTAATAGTTTCATGGTTAGGGTTGAAGTTATTGATTACAGTGAGATATGTAAGCTAATGACACCACTTAATATACGCAAAACACTTGTACCGTACACCACCGATGACTTTATTCGCAGTGCCTGATACTTCAGACGCAAAAATGTTAGATTATTTACACACACACGTTTTCCTAAAAAAGATCAACTAATATATTCTGATCAGTATAGTGAGGCGTTGAACTGTTCATTAAGATTACTCCAACGAGAAAACGATGTAAATCAAAAATTAAGGCTTGAGAACATATCTCAGTGTCCAATGATTTAAAACGCTAATTTTTGTCTCTAATTTTTCCTATCGAGGCCATTTGCCTTAGGTTATTCAGCTCTATATAAACATTTGTGCAAGGCTGAAATAAACTGTCACTTTGTGACTGAATCATCGTTGTCCGTTTATTTTACTGAGTATCCAAAGAGAACAAGTGGGCTGCTGTCCAATGGGTTTTTATTCTCAGTTTACAGTTTACTGAAGTTTTCACGCATATTCTTAAAATTTTATTAGCGATTTTTAGTCTACTAACTTTAACATAGTTTATCCTTACCAGTCGATTAACCGCTTTTTTCTTGAATCAAACAGCTCAAGTTTGTGCACAAATAGGTCCTTTAGACACTTTATTTATGTCGGGCTTCTAGCGACTACATTGGTGAGTGTCTTTTAGCCAATATATCTAAGTAAGTGTTATCTATTATGATCCATCTCATTCCATGTCTTCAGCGATAAACCCCCATAATCAGAATCAAATAATACCAAGATAATATTATGTATTACAAGAAATACTTTTATTCATACCGGAGATCTTGGGGTATTGGTTGATTCAAGAATGTTTTTCGTTATTTCATGCGACTAATAATCACTGGGGCTCATGGAGTGTTAAACAATTGTTTCATCTTAGCATAAGGATTTGTATTTGATCATGCCGCCAACCTGTGACAGGCTGGTATCAAGACTGTTCAGGCCTCTTGGTTGCAATGGAAAATAATTGGCATTAAATTTCAACCCAACAGCTAGTTAGTAACATGTGCGCTACTAAACCTATAGCATCTTGGTTCTGTTTTGTAACGCAGTAAGAGTGCTCACTCGTAACAAGTGTGGTATCTGGTTTTTAACACGTATCCAACGCATATGAGGTCAGAATGAATGTTATTTAAATATTGGTCACTGATATTTGACTTATTTATCACTTATCTATTGAGACCAAAAAACCGAATCACTAAAATCAATGAAATGATAACTGATTTTATGATGAAAACTTGGTGCACTGATTTTAAACACGTTGACTTTCGATCACTGGATCCTGGATTTCAAACTCAACTTTTATCTACTTTGACCTGAGTAACCGGAAAGGATCATTAACACTCTCACACAATGGTTGTGACTCAGCCTAGTGCATAAACACCTGTAATACGTTAAGCTATTTTAGATTGGTTTGGTTTTGTAGGATACGTTTGTTTTACCAACGTCTACCATTAACTGTTTCGATTTACACCAAGAACTACTTAATTTAGCATAAAGGGAAAGTAACAGTTACTTTCTTCAAATCCTTTTATAGTAATCAATCTTCTGTTTTAACATATATATATATATATTTCTTCTCTCTAGTATATTATGCTAGTCAGAAATTTGTTTCACAATTTCTCAAAGCTCCAATCAACTGAAAGAATGCATTTAATTGATACAATAAATCAACTTATCAGTGCAATGATTCTTCTTATTAGTCCACAAAACTCAAGTACATTGTCGTATTGGTCGAATGAAACACTTATATCACGTTCATCTTGTTGTTCACCAGCTTCTGTTGAACCGCTTGTGTTTAATTCAAATAAACAGTTGAGCATTTATAATCAATGGAAAGATAATTTTCGTCTTGCATTTTATGAGGTGGACAATTATTGTTCTTATTCTTCAGAAACTGTTAGCAGACTTTTGAATTTGCCACAAGTAAGTAACATTTCATTTGTTTTTTGATCCCTCTGGAATCTTAAGTGGGGTTCGTTGTGAACTGAATAACTTAACAGTAATGTAGCCAACCTTATGGCTGAATAATGCTAATTTTAATCTTTGAGAGAGAAAGAGAGAACATAGATCGTCTTAGGTTGGAAAGTGCGTCTATAGATTTTAAAGTATGGTCGTGGCTGTTATACTCATATTTTCAATGCTCTCCGAGGTTCATCAGTGTCAAGAATATCAGGTTTCAAACTATGTGGCGTACAAACAGCAAGAAGTTAACAATCTTGACGTTTGCTGTATATCTGTCTTATAAGAACCTGCAACATATTATGAATTTTCAAATACCATGTGATTTTACAAACAATAAGTTACCCGTTTACGTCTGCCTTCCCAAACATTCTTATGACATAACTGTATAGTTCCCGGGTCCTTACTCTACTTTAATAATACTATCGTTTTTTGTATAATGGATCATTTCTTCGGCAAGGTTATTAGCAGGTGAAGAACGCGACAAAGACTGAAACGTATACTTTAATCTCTGTTTCTAGTTATTTGTCGTCAAGTATTTTATCACACTCAAAAAATATGCTATGCCTTTTTGTTGCGATCATATCTTGCTGATGAGTAGAAGGAAATGAGAAACTAGAGAAGAAATAAAGTGTTGTTTATTAGTAACCAATACAATAATAGTGTCATGTTTATCGACTAGTAATACTATAAGTAAGAAAAGTATTGTTTCCAGTGAATTCCTTTCATGATTCTACAGTTATATTATAAAGCTATTCGTCATAATAAAAATCAAATTTACAGCAAATTTATTTTTGAAATAGAGCCACCTCGAGATTAGAAGTAGGACAAGACTTGATTTTTCGGTTTTTAAACGATTTGTACGCGTGTGTCAAATGTGTTTGTAGATGATATCAAGCTAGCACTCATCAAACATAACAAATGTAGGACTCCTCAGCGGTACACACCCATGACCTTCCTAGGGGTTGAGACCTTAAGATCCTAAGTTCTTTCCCTGACAGGGTCCCGGATGCGTACTGCTGAGAAGTACAACACTAAAAGAAAACAGCTGTCCAGTGCTTTAAGGTTTCCAGTGATCCTCTGACTGATGTCAGTCCATGATGAATACTATCTTAAGATAACAAGTATAGACAATGTAGGGAAAGTAATGAATTGTTGTAATAATAAGATAATGCTATTGATCTGCTTACAATCTCGAACTAACATTCTATTTTGTGAAATGTATTCGTCATAAAACTAGCATATATTGTAAGGAATAAGTTCACCTTGTAACCATGACACATGAAGAGAATTAGTTGAATAGTAAGTAGTGAAAATATGAACACACTATAAGTACATATATTTATACTGGGTGATGTTTAAAGGTGAGATAAAAATCTGAACCGCTGTCCAGATTTTCATCTCACCTTCAATCATCACCCAGTATAAATACTAGTCTGCCAAACTACGGCTATCTCAGATAGTCAAATGATAGTAAGTACATGTGTTCAACATTCGATATGACTAGAGTTTTGATCAATACTCATAAAATTGTCACAGATATTTAGCCATCTCTCTTATACCGGTGACTTGTGTATGCGTTTGCAAGTACTGAAATAATATCTACTTAACTGTGGACTAGACTAAACGATCAAACTGGATATTTAGCTCACTATTCGGATACTATTGACCTGTCATCATTGGACATTGGACTTCTAATCATACTCAGTGAATATCGAAAAGTTGGACCGGCTGGCCTGGCGGCTGTGCATCCATTATTCAAAAGTAATCATTTGTATGCAAAGATTTGGTCACGACTAAACAATTCAGACCTACCCTTCAAATAAACAAATAATATTCAACGTGGGACCTAGCACACACATGTATCCCTTCAAGTTATCACATGTCGCATTAGAACCCAAAAAGAAAGTGAATAGAAAATCTCTGATATTGAAGTTTAAAAAAGTTCATGAACGGAGAGGGAATAAATAAGTAAAGGTTAATAAAAGGTTAGAAATCTCGATAATGATAAGGACTGTTTAAATCTGCCCAATTGTAAACCAATAACACCAAGATAGTCCAACTATCGTAACTTCAGTGCATAAGCGACTTTTAAGGTATTGATGTTTAGGTTACCTGCATACTAAAATGGTGGTTGTATATCGATTCACAGGATAGAAATGAAAGCTAACAGTAACTGTGACATCTCAGATCTTCGCTATTGTCACTCATTGGTTTCATGTTACTGCATGACAGTGTTTATAGAAGATAAAATTTTAGCCTTATATCCATTGATAAGAATCCCTTGACTCTCCATTAACCTACTGTCTTCGATTATTTTTTATCTGGAAATTGGATAGCTGAATTTTAAGGTTGGGATTCATCATGGATTGGCATCGGTTGGACGAACATTAGAAACTTGGGAGCACTGGACTGCTGTTTCGTCCTAGTATGGGACTCTTCAGCAGACGCACCTGCGATCCCGCGCTGACCACGGAACCTAAAGGTCCCAGGTTTGATCCCTGGTGGGATCGTGGGTGCGCACTTCTGAGGAGTCCCATATTAGACTGAAACAGCTGTCCAGTGCTCCCAGGTTCCCAGTGTTCCGTCAATTGATGTCAGTCCATGGTGAATTCCAACCTAAAATCAATTGATAAACCTCCACAAACTTCCAGATAGAACTGAATTTTTGTTCACTTACTCAACATCAAGCATAAGGAATAAATGTCATTCAATATATATATTCCAGGTAACTGTATAATTTTATCATGTCTGCCATAAATAAGAGGGATCTAGAGCTAGATAAGATGGACAGACAAAATCAACACGGGACCTGGGGTTACGACACCGCATATCACCACGTCAAGCTGGAAGGCACCAGCATGAAAGATAAAGTAAGAAAGAAGACAATAGTGGAAAGTGGAACAAAAGGGGAAGGAGGAATAGGAAAATACTGAATTCAGTGTGACGATTAGGGTGAGGATTTGTGCATATTCATTTACTCTGCTGAAATTCTTTCTGCACCATATCACCTTAAATCTTCAACCACTGGTTTCTGTGGTTGTGTGGACCCCAACCGGCAAGTTACCATTTCTGTACATGACACAGACCAACAGTCAAAGACTTCATGAAGTGACGTCATGTTTTATTTAGTCTGGCTACATCTAACCGTTTTCTGACTTAAGCCTACTTCGTCCAACATTATGTGACGAGTCAGATGGTAACTGGATAAGCGTAACACATGTCCAAACCACTTCACTAGATGAAGCTTCACAACCTCATCAAGTGACTTCCCTCTTCTGCTCAAAACTATAATCCTGACATCTACGTTACTGAGACAGTGACAGCATGATACATGGTCTATGTTACGATGACAACGGTGGTCGAATACTTCAGGTCTTCTCATGTCGTTTACCTTTAATGGCCATCTTTTCACAGGACAACACGACAAACGAGTCAAATTTCGCCTTTAGGTCGAGAAATGCAACCAGTGGTGGGTGAATGTCTAGTCGGCACATAACCAACCGATCAGGTCTGAAATCTGCTTGGTTTTCTTGGGTTCACTGTTCACGAGCTTTTAATAGGCTTTAGATAACTATTGAACCTAAAATCTCAGACACTATGTTCGTCAGACTGATTCCCTTTTTGTCGTCACAAAAAGATTTCCTCTTTTCTTGAAGACTAGGCAAATCAATGATTCAAGCCAATTATAAGGAATCGTATCTGATACGCATATACCGATTAACAGTTTAGCTTATTTGACCCATATTCCTCTACCTGTCGTCGTTGAATGCTTCTGGTACTAGCTTATCTGACCCTACTCCTCCTTATCGTTTCAGGTAACCTACAAGTTTCTCGATTTCTGTAAGTCTTGGGGGTCCTATCTCAATGTTTATTCAGGATCCAACTGGATAGCGACCAATGGAATAGTAACTGGAGGCCAGTTGAACTTTTCCTCAGAGTTTTTCACACATCGTTTTCGTCATTTCCCCTGCAAATGAATCATAAAACCACCCTTCCCCTGTATGGTGTAACCAATCATTGACATTCTTACCCCGATTTCCTTGATAAGTCTAAATAACTATCTACTGTTACCTTTCTACGCTGCCTTTTCCATCTCTTTAACCCTCACTGCCCACCACTGTTTGAGGTCATTGCGTAGACCTTTTGTCAGTTAACATTTGAGTTGCTTCTCCTCCTCATTGCCCTCGTAGCCTTCAGGAATGCGTACGCATGCTTCCGTCGATTTGAAAGAAGGTGCTGAGATCCACTTAGCTTTTCTAACTATTTTCTGAGAGTCAGCTGCGGTCTTGAACGCTATTTTTACAGCAGATTAGCAATAGTTTCAGGCTTCTCCTGATGTCTGCTGTTCTGTCCTGACGAGTATCTACCCAGTTCCTGACTGAAACAGCTTTAGTATTCATATCATCTAGCTTTACTTGTATTCATCGTTCCGCTGTAGTTTTCCTACATGTATTTGGTTGAAGGCATATGCCTACTGAAACCAGCGTGGGGTCACTGTCGATACAAATACTCCACCGATAACTGATAGCAATATGGTCTATTTGTATCCACCACTGAGTTGAAGTTGGTGGACGCCACCTCAGATAGTGTCTCTCTTAATTTCTGAGGTTCATGCCGGCTAGAAATAGATCCTTATCTAAATACTGTTGTAGCAGGTGGTCGCCGTTATCTGTTTGTTTGAATGGAATTCCAAAAGTGTCACCTAAGTGCCTTCCTGCCCGATTCTGCCTACCCAAATGCACATTGGGTGTACTCTGGACCGATGAAAAGAGCCTAGAAGATGTGGGTTTCGCCGATGATTTATGTCTAATGTCTTGTGGCACAAACTCGAAGATCTACAAGCGAAAACTAACAAGTTGACAGAAGAGATGAGGTAGCGAAAATATGTGAATGTAGATAAGACAGAGGTGATAAAGATACCCAACCAACAACTACATCAACAACAAGCACTAATCACCGTTAACGGGAGAAACCTGAAGAAAGTAGTCTCCTTCACGTACCTACCTAGGCAGCATCGTTTCAACTACTACAGGTGGTGGCACAGATGAGGATGTCAATGGAGCCAGGATCGGAAAGACAACAAGACAGGCTTTCATTAATCTGAAATCAGTGTGGAGATCTACTGCACTCGGCACAAAGAACAAGATCCGGATTTTCAACACCAATGTCAAGTCAGTGCTTCTATATGGTTCAGAAACTAAGCGTGTCACGAAAAGCACTTCCAACAAACTGCAGACATTCATCAAGAGCTGCTGTCTACGCTCACTCGATACTGAGGATCAGATGGTCAGAAAGAATAAGCAACAAGGAACTGTGACCTGACAACAAACCAACCAAGAACCTATCACCCAACAAATATGCAGAAGGAAGTGGAGATGGATTGGAGGTGCACTGTGAAGGCCGATTGGGGACACCGCGCGCCAGGCCAGGCCGTCGAGTGTAATCCAGAGAGGAAACGATGAGTTGGGCGTCCGAGATGAGGGTGATATGGAGGAGATCATGTGAGGAAGAAATGAAAGCTTGTGGGCAGTCGTGGAGCCAGATTGAAAAGACTGCAGAGAAGAGAGTGCAATGTAGGCGTTCTCCTGAAGCCCTATGTTCCACTAGGAACCCAAGGGGAAAAAAATAATCATGAATGCGTATTGAAATCGTCTGCTACAACAACCGTGTATGGACGTTTGGGTTTCGGCAGTAGGCTAAACAGTCTTCGGTAGAAATCATCCGAGGTGCAGTCAGTAGGTGCGTAAAGAGAGATTGAAAAACGACAACGGCAAGTTCAATCATTCATTTTAGTCTTCACTGCACTGTTCGGTTGAACAACCCATAGGTCAATTGAAGTTCAAGCGAGTGGTCCATATTCTGCTTCAGTGCTAAATGTTATACCTGCACCTTTAAGATCGCGGGCAATATCCATTGAATCTCCTGAAACTCGAAGGGCGAATTTTTTGGATTCTTTGTATTTACCTAGTACGGCTATATGAGTAATTACACTTGGTTTCTGCATGAGTTTCCCGCAAACACAATTCATATGTATGGTTTGAGATGGCAGAGTTTTGGCTATCGAAGCTTGTTGACTGGTTTGACGGAGGGTGCGGACATCGGAAGCTACAATGTGTAGTTTGGAGCGTGGTTTCAGGAGACCAGTGCTGCTATTCCGTAATCTCAAATCGTTGTCAAGAGCTCCATATCTAAAGCAAATTAAAGATGATTTAGGAGTGTTGAGTAAGTGGCGCGAAGGAAGATTAGGAGATAAGAATGTGGAAGGCAGGTAGTCATCTGAGAGAACTTGATTCCTGACAGAGTTGTGAGGGCAGTTGACACTTCTCGGTTACCCATATCGTAGAAAGATGGTTCTTGTTAAGGTGCTTGAAAAGGAAGGGTTTATGCGTGACCGTAAAGCCCAAGGGGCATCTGGTTGAGGCTGGTCACATACGGCCTTTTTAGAATTTTTATAGCTCGGTTCATTTTTTACTAATCTGACTGTGAACCTGTATTGCTGGCAACCGGTATGCTGCGGAGTAGCGGAGAGTGTGCTATTTTTAGCGCCGACTTTTTCTGACCCTCCCTTCCCATTGGGTGGGCAGCATCAACGTGACACTGCTCGTCATCCGCGGTAAACACCTTGCTGTTGTCGAATCCCGTCTAGCCAGCAGTACGATTTCACCATCAAACCTTCATCACCAAGTACCAATTTGCACTATAACGGTACCTGCCTTTTGTTTTGCCACTATCCACCTCATCTTTCCGATATGGTAGGACCTCCAGGGAAGAGGCATTCCATCCGGTGTCATTGTGATGTACATGTCCGACCAGCAGGTCAAGGTAGCAGCTATCCTTCAGGTAGCTGGATAACTTTTGTTTCTTAGTTGTGGAGTTAACTTGTTATGACGAATAATAGGTGGCATTTTAAAGATAAATATTAAAATTAGTGTTATTGTCTCATTTGGATACATCGAATAAGCACAATCAGATAGAATTTCAGTTTACGATAGCACCCAATTTCACATAAAGTCCATTAGTTCTTTTCGATCAAGAATTTTGTGTTTTTGATGTCAACTGTTCCGCGCTACTGTGTGTAGAAAGTTGTGTTGTTATTTGAATGAAAGCTTTGTTTGCAGTTTGACGTGTTCTTTTAATATTTTCAGATCTTTCATCTCCAGTCTTTAAAACAGCTATTATACATTCTGACTTTATCATGTAACTTGACTTGAAATATAGTTTTGCAACTCACGTCACTATGATTTCTGATTAACGTCTGTCATTAGTAACTCACGGGTTAATATAAGAGATAAGAAGCTGGCAACACTTACCACAGTCTCTTCATGTACGATTCATGTTTTTACGCTTGTGAGTAACCTAGATATACAGTGAATTACAATTACTCAGCAAAGTCCTTTGAGCTAAACACAGAGCCAATAACACTAGCGAGTTAAATTATCTACTTACCAACGGTAAAACAATGATTAACAAATAGAAAGGCAGTTTATAAAAATTACTACTAAACAGTACTTTAAAATAATTGTTTCTTCGAAACACAAACCACACAAAAGATTCATCAAAATGTAGCTTTTCAAACACTCAGTGTTTTTCTCGATGGCTTTTACTAGCAGTTATCATAGATTTTCGATCCATTTTTGCTTTGCTACATTATAGGTGTGAGACTGTCATGGATAAACATAGTTCAGAAAACTGGTCTTGATGTAATACCGTTAAGCGCGCTGATTTGTTTCCCACAGCGATCCAGATTTTTACTTCACATCGATTATCTCCGCATTGTAAAAATCTAACTCTTCTAGAAACCTCACCTGTTTTGCTAACTCCTTCAATGTGAACATTAAGGTGTTGTTGCTCAACTGGAAAAGCATTAAGTGGTATGCGAACTACAAGTTCGAAAATGACTATTATTACGGTTTCTTCTAATCAGTTGCTATTCATTTAGACACTCATCTACACAAATTGATTCCATATACCGGAATGTGGGGATTAAAGTATTGCCTTGAGCCTACTTGTACAAGTATTCATTTTGTTTGTAGGCTGTGTTATTGTTGTGTTTTTTTGCATCTTAGTGTGACAGTTAAGATCATTTCAACCAGTCTAAGTATTGATTTGCCTACTACTCATTCTATGCCATTTTGTGGTGAATATGAATTATGATGGCAATGGACCGATGTATCTCTCATATACACTACAATTTGAAGCAATAATTGGTAGTTAAGTTACATTTAAATGTAGCTAAATAATAGGTCAGTTAGGTGACCGGTTGAGACGCTGAACCATATTTGTACCCTACATTTCCTTAAAATTTCGTAATCACTATATAGTTATAAAAGACTAGAGAAATTTTTCATCTAGACTTCAATTTCTTAGTTTGTACTTTTTTTTAATTAATTTTATTCACATGGGAATTTTCTCTTCCCTCCTTCTAAGAGTAATTTTCATTCAAAGGAGAAATTATTCAGTTTATGGAATTGGTTATGTGGTTTAACAATGGATCAACTAAAATTTATTGGCCGATTTATACCATGTAGCTATGAAAGTAACAATGACCTTCACTCAATTGGTTTATGTGAACGTGAAAACTCTTCACTAATCACATTCAGTGGAATACCTATTGTTCAAAGAAATTCGCTTACACTGCAAAGATTACAGACAATTTTTACTTATTTGCCTCGTCCATTAACTGTGAATTTAGTATTGTAAGTTAATGATATTCATGTATATAAACTATCTGACTAACTCAAAAAATATATAACCTTCGTTTTAAACTGATTTTTCTCTTAGTAAAATGATTCCTATAAAATAATCATCGATAGTAACTTCCCAACCTTAGCCTTTACTTTGTCCTAGCCATTGGGGGTTTCCCTGCGTGTGTTCGAATCCCAACCCCCGTTGCCACTTTTCTAACCTTTGTTGCTGCTTGTTGATTAGAGCGAATTGATCGGTCTCTTTTGGCATATAGGTTCCTGCATGGATACCTTGATATTACTTGTGTTGACTTTTATATGCATGATGTATAGTGACTAGTAGTGGAATCCCGGACGTGCGTTTCTTCCTATTCGGGGGTCGTCTGCTGGACGCACCTACTGGATAATGCAAGTAACGAAGTAAAATGACTATTATCGTCGTACAGGAAGTGGCTGTCATAACTCGGTGGTCTAGTAGATAATCTCCTAGCTTTTGAAGCGGTCGGTCCCGGGTTTGAGTCTTAGTGGGAACAGTATCTCTCACTTTGGAGGCAGGTACATCCACCATTGATACATGAAAATCATACTTTCCCTTATTCCTCTTAACTTCTGTAATTCCGTTTTTAACGTAGGAAAAATTTTTTTAGAATGAAGAGTTAAAATAAAAATGTCTAATGAGCAAAGTGAGCAACTCATTGTCTCATACTGTATTAAATCAATACTTGAATATGCTTGTTGATCTTGTGCCATCTAGGTTAACGCAAAGCCAGTTGATCACTAATACGTGACCTGAGAGTATTACACTAATTCTCTTGATTGACTTTAAGCAGTGAAATAAGTTCACTGACCACCAATCATTAGTCTGACTATCACTACATTTATTTATTTAGACCTAGACTTAGACACCTAGACAACTAGGTGTAATTCATAAACAAGTACATAACTTTCGCTACATGGTTGGACTGAATTTAATACTATATTCGTCACATCATGAGAGAAGAGTAACTATTCAAACAAGACATTGACAAAATCAATCCAAACCATGTCAATCGACTTATCTGCCTTGCCCAGTACCTTTCGCCTGGCCTAAACATTGTGCACACGGAATGCAAGTTGTGAAACAGACAAAAAGATAGGAAGACATATGTAAACGATTGGTGTGATGGTTTGAAATGATATGTGGCGAAGATTTTACTGTCGTACACTTCCAGCAGAGATAATGAAGCCGTTAAAAACTATCGGATATCCATTTACTAGTATAAAATCACAGGAACTTATTGACCATTCTACCTATGATTCCTGTTTCCTTTCCTAACATCGTGTAAAAAGTGGTCTATATAAGCTAGTCAGAATTTCAGCTATTTGAAGGACTGGAAATTACATCAGCTTTTGATTTTATGTCTCAGACACATTTTTAAGATTAAATCCTAAATTAAAGAATTTCACTTGTTTACTTTACTTTAAAGCCACTCATATAAAAACAAGAATGGAAGACTGAAAATTAAAGTTTGTGGTTCATTCATTGGTGTTTGGATTTTCTATGATGTTCTCATTTTATGAAGTTCGATAGTATGTTGAATGTTGGACTAATTTAATTCAGCTAAGATTTCACATCAGAGATTTGTAGCTTGGACCAAATATCACTACTTCTTGAAAATGTCAATCACAGCGCCTATATTCTATCCAAAACTCTATAGTTTGAACAGTAAAATAGCATCACAAAATAAATCTTTATCGGTATATAGTCCTAGAAATTATTCATTTTTGCCGAGTTACATTGCAATAGTATAATTGCTTGTAATATACCGTCGTTGATTGAACCGTATTGATCGGTCTCTATGGCATATAGGCTGCTGTATGGATGCCTCGATATTACCTGTGTTTTAATTTTAGTAATGATGGCTAGTGTAATCCAGGATGCGCATTTTGTTCTATTTGAGACTCGTCAGCGGTCGGTTTCGAGTTCGAATCCCAGTGGGAACAACATCACTCACTAGGAGGTAGGTACATCCAACTGACGAGTCCCAAATAGGATGAAATGCGCATCCTGGATTCCACTGCTAGTCACTGTCCATCATTATTACATTGGAATAACTCGAATACTAACCATTGTTTTGCGTGAAGGCCTCATCACATTAACACTGTGTTAAAAAGACAATAGTTATCGAATGGTGGAAACATTCATCAAACAGCTCGTCGAATTTATGAGAATAAAGTAATTTAATGAAAGGAATACATGACTAGCAGTTTAATGTTTCTAAGATTCTACAGTCGACTCAAAATATATCATACACATATTCCATTACGGACACTCAGGTTTAATTTGTAGAAATTTACCACACAAACTGTTGAAAACAAGGCATCCAACGGAATAAGTAGTGATTACTTTTTTAGCTTAGTGATTTGTATTGATCTTATCATGCAATCTAAGCCTTAGTGTTATTATTCACGATTTTACTGGTTTTTCATAATAACTACTGCGATTTATTCTACTTTATCGTCTTGCCTCCCTTTCACTTTTTTAATCTTCGTTAGGCATCCATTCTGGGAGCGGGTTATTCATAGAATGCATCTATCATCTGAGTTGTGCAATCTACTCAATAAAACCTATTCTAACTAATTAAATATAATTCTTTTTTTATGAAGCAAATCATTAAACAGGTATACAAGATTTTTCTACTGTGTTGATTTATTTACCTGAATTTCTTTCTTTCCCCGGAGACTTGCCATAGTTACTACTTCGATACAATATATTTTGTTGTTGTTGTTGTTTCATTTGTCTATTCCTCTCATCGAAATTTTACCACCCATTCCTCTCAGTATTTATGTCATGTGGATATTTTTTTTCCCGTTGCTCGTAGTTATTTTTCTTATATTGCTATTTGCCTTGTATTTAACAGACTATTTTTCAGAGCACAAGTCCGCTTTCAATCTTACTGTATTCTCTTTATATTTTTATCGATTTCTGTATTAACTGGGTTTTTTATCGCTATTGTCAGTATCACTATTATTACTATGAATATTATTATCACCATTGTTTGTATAAGTTCCTTTTCATCTCCATACAGCATTTTAATAAAGAAATTATACTATATAAAGAATTTAGACATGTGGATTTGTGTCCGAGGCGATTATAATGATGTTGATGCTTACCAACAAAACATGTTCATCTCAAAGGCGTAATAAGGTTATCTATGGCGCCAGTATTTCGAAATATATTTTTGGAAGTATGTAGAAGTAGATAAATTAGAAAACAAATTGATCTACTGCTTATTTCTTCTCAATTATTTCCTCATCTTGGCTGTACGCTTATATGTAGGACTTTTTAAGCATTGTGTTGCATAGGTAAATGTATTGGTAGTTTGCTTAAATTTTGGGCTACCAAAAATCTTTCATCGAATATATTTCATCAAATTGCTCCTTGTTTTCTTACTTGTTTTAACCATTCAAATGTCAACAGATCATAAAACACTTCCGAACTTTTAAAATGTCTTCAGCGTGTCATTAGACGAGTTAACAACAAGACGATGAGAAAATATCACAGTAGATGACATTTGTCCTCTGAACGTAAAACAGTCCATCATACATGAACATGTAGCTGTTACAGCAAATTTTCATACTGGATGAAGGAACCTTCACCACCAAACTTACGTATGCTTTTCTATCCGACTCACGTGCAACAACATACAAATTAGATGATGACCTAAAAACTACTCGTTGTTGCGCATTAATACCTATCATACTACTATGATTAACATTACTTAACAGCCATGGCTTTTTAGTTTAAAAATATTGTACAAGAAGTAAATTTGTTAAAATATCACACTGAGAATTGCAAAACTGTACTAAAAGTTACTGTCTGGAATAAAGTGATTGTTATTATAATAAAAAAGAATACCAAATTAATGCCCTATTGAATGAGCACTCGACCAGTAGGTAATCATACGCCTTGCTAGCTATTGACTCAATGCGTCCAAGCGACAACTTTCCTTAATCTCAACTGTGTACACAAGACATGCAGTTTCGAGAATATAGCTGTAAAACATTTATTAAATGGTAAATATTTTGCTCGAGAATAGTAGAAATTTCAGTTGAACATTCAACACTACTGCATTTCTATTCAGTACGGTAAGCAGTTACTTAATTTCATTGCTTACTGTTTTAAAATTGAACTCTGTACTTAATACTACTACTAATCAGGACCTGTAATTCAGGATCCTCCAGGAAGAACACATTGTATCTTTGTATTAACCCACTATCCGAAACTTAGGTAAAGGTTACTGTCCACGTCGATGCTCTGAATTCAGACAATTCATTTACTAATACATAGACATATTTATTTATAAGCTCAATCCTTTTCAAGTGCA